GCTTTAAGTTTTTCCTCAATGACGTGCCAATTACTGGTTCGAACAAGGCTCCCCATTTAATATTGTTTTGTCATCAGATTTTGTCTGTTTTTTGGCAAGTGCCAAGCGTAAACATGGCATACAATTTGTTGTTACTTCCATATCTTCCATATTCGCACACCCACTCGCCGCCATACATACATTTAAACATATAATCTCACAAGCATTTCAGTCAGCATCCAGCAACCACGCCCACTAGCCGGCCCCTTTTTTTTTATAACCACAGTGCGGATATCAATAAAGTTCGATTTCGTGTGTGTGTGTCGTTTAGATGTATCTGTGTGCGAACATTTCTGCTAGTCATAAATCAAGTAAAACTAAACAACGGCGAAGAGATGAGCGAAGCGAAATAGATTTATGTTTGGCCACGCCAAGAAGTGCGTTGTGCCAATATCACTGATACCCCGAATAGACTTTCTCATACAAAAAAAAAAAAAAAAAAACTCCATGACACCCTTTTTTCTTATCAGGCCAAAAAGTAGTTTAATAATAGATACAGTGCACACATGCATGTATGTATATGTACATCTATTCATAAATATGTAAATGAAATTTAAATTACATTTTTAAATTTAAACAGTTGTTGATCACACCTTTTTTGTGACTAATTAGTCGAAGGTCGGAAAACCAAAGTTGTTACAGGAAATTTTATCAATAATAATGAATTTTTTTAAATGGTTCCCCATTCCGCTTAAACTTTTCCATCTCATTTCGAATTACATCAACAAGATTTCCCAGCGTAATTCATGATGGCGAGAACGACAACAACAAAAACTTTTAAAAACAGCAAAGTGAAAGAAGCGAAATGAAAACAATGCGCGGATAAGTTAGGGAAAACAAAGCAAAGCAAAGCGCTGAGGAAAATCTGAATGAAAAGCTGCTTGCCCTCGAGTGGGCGTGGGTAGGTGGTCGGAGGAGGGATGGGAATAGAGCGTGGGGCATCGATGAGGCGACGCTGGATGCCAACTAAAAATACAAATTTATATGCAAAACAATTTGGAATTTTGTTCAGAGTTTTGACATTTTTTTTTTTGCTCAGTTTTTCTTTTGTACAACTCTTTGCGAATATAAATGTACCATTATGCAGTATATATACGCATTTTATAGATGGATATGTACATATGTAAATATGTATGTTTATTATATTAAAGCTTTTGAGTCTAAAGGCTGTGTAATTTTTTTAGAGACCAGTGCCTATAGAGTAGTAAAGGGTATTATAATTAGTAGTAATTCAAAACATATTTTTTTAATAGCTAGAAATGAAAAAATATAAGTTATCTTGGAAACAATATAAACTATTTAAAATTCCATGACTGAAAAAAATTTATTTATTTATATTTATCGTAATAACTATAGATTTCTTTATGTAGCCTCAAAATTGCTAAATAGGCAGTACTACCAGGTTAGCTCAACATTCCGCTCTTTTCTCTTTTTCAGCTGTGTGTACTCACTCTGACACAGTCATCGGTGACTGTGTAGTTGTAGTCATTTGCATTTTTATGCGACGACCGCCGATATTTTGCAATATTTCTCTTCCCCTTTTTTGTACGAATTTCTTTTGAGATTATTGTGGGGCTCGGATCAATTAAAATTGCACTGCGCATTTGAGCGATCGATGATCAAGCCATTCCCTTCACATTTGACCTTGGCTTGTGTGGATTTTATTAATGTTCCACTTGTGGCGGCCACTTTATCAAAACAAAAATGAACAAGATACATAGGAAAGATACTTTGAAAAGTCGAAGTTTGTATGCTCTCTATAACCAACTAGTACGTTTTACAGCACAGTTCGTGGCTTAACAACACAATAAATAGCACTGTCATTCTTTAACGGTCAGATCAATTTCGAGAGGGGTTTTACGATATTTTTATCTGGTAAAAATGTATCTGTCAGATAGCGATAATGAACCTAAACAGTTATTTAAGAAGGGTTAAGCAGTTTCTAGATAGTTTCGGGTGGGGAAATAATCTGCGTTGCAGATTTCTGTCTAAAGTTTGAATATGTTCGATAATATATTCGGATAATCAATTAATAATGTAATGGATTGGGGGTTTACCTTTAGTTTTTTCTACATCAAAATTGTGTAGATGAATAATTCAAGCAGGTATTTTTAATTTGCAATGATACTATTTTTATTGCTTATGCATCTGTGTGCAACTGTATTTATTTTTCGCACAATGCTTTTCGAGTTCTCGCCGGGGGCTGGTCAACGAACCTGTTGCCGTTCGCCTTTGCTAAGAAGTAAATAACAGTTGTTAGTTTTTATTATCTTAAAAAAGTGACAAGTACAGCAGTATGTATGTTTCGTATGTGGGCTACCGCAGCCCGTTCGAGAGATCAGAAATGATCCCGGAGAGAGCGGCTACAGTGATTTTCGAAAAGCACCGGCCGTGAAATCGTTAGCCAGGCGACAAGCTAGCTGCACTCATTTCCGATTTTTTTTAAATTAGAAAAAGAAGCAGGCACAAAACCAGTCAGCAAATACATACTTGACTATCCAGGGGAGCAAACGGAGGTGCAGATAGTCCACAGTGGTGAGGGATTGTCAAAAAACGTGAAATATATATATATTTTTTTTTCAATCGAACACACAAACCTTTGGGTACCGCTCTGGGATCTAAACTGCAGATAAATTAAATACCTAGTAAGAGAGAGTGAAACCTAAAGCTCCCCAAAACTCCTAGTTAGGAGGGTTTCTTCAAAAGTATGGCGGGGATAACTTTTTACAACGATAAATCTTGCTATGATGGTCCAGGTGAGTAAAGGGGAGTGCGATATGAGGAGAGCATAATCTTATGCTGAAGCAGTGTGCGGCTGGTCTAGCTGTGTGCCACCTTTAAGCCGCTCTTTTCGCTCTCCATTTTCATCATCTGCTCCTTCTGCCCACCTCCTCTCACCGTGTGACAATAATCGCAGACCGCTCGACGTTTTCATGTGAGTGCTTATCACATTATGGCGCTATTTATAGTTTCGCTTGCAATTTTTTCGCTCTTTTGGCTCTTCTTTCCACTTGTTCTGCGGTTATATTGTTGCTGTAGCTCTCGATTATGTTGCCTTTGCTGGTGTGTAAGTTGACAGCGCTGAATTTATGCTCACTATACACAGCAAAAATTAAATCCAAATTTTAGGTGGCACTATTTTTTGTATTCTTAAGGGAAAATAAGCAAAAAAAATGAAAAGATTGGTGGTCTTCCATTCCTTCTTACAAACTTCAAGGGTATTTACATAAATAAACGCTCAAGCTTCTTTTCTTATTTTTCTTTTTTAACTTTGTGGAAGTAATTCAACATTCAATGCTTTTGGGTACATGATAGTTTACTACTTCTTCTTTGTAAAAGAAGGAATGCTTTAGAATCGTTACAATGTATCTAAATAACTTCACGGTCTAACGTGTACGCGCTCCATAACGAAATTAGACAATTCCTAATTGGGTTAGTGTGTATTGTACGTAATTTATGAGAGCTTGCCGTAAAGTGGCCAGAACAAGAAAGCTAATCAGAAAGTTTTCCACCATCAGTGCTCCACCTTCCCCAATCGCTAGTTACCGAAATAATCCAATTAGCTGTCTCACGGCCAAAGACAAATACGAACGGCATTTTTTGTATATAAACAAGAAACTTTACACGTAACCCCACCAAAAAATTATTCACAATATAATATAATTTGCCATGTGCAGGGAAAAAATTAGAGTTAAAAAAAGGATCACAGCGTGGCTGCTGCAACGCCGCTATAGCATACAAATCTCAATTTAAAACAATCAATGCAATGGAAAAGATAAAAAAACAACACAAAAACATAACGTATCAGCGGACAAGCAAAAATAGAAAAGCGAATTGTAAATACACTTTGCTGAAGATTTATTTTATTTTTTAGTATATTTTATTTCTATTTGAAGGTTTTTAACAACTTAAAAGTGAGTTTAATTTGATCAGACCTTATTAAATTATTTACATTTGCAACCGATAAACAAGATGAACTGATGAATTCAGATACCCTGACATATTGCGAATACCGGTATGAAAACGAAAAACTGTAAACAAACGAAATATGCTGGGAGCGACACGCATATGTACATCCAAACGTACATACAAGTCGATTTTCAGACAGCGATGGCGCAATACTTACACACAATCACAAACACACGTACGAAACGTTCTCTCTCTGTTTGTTCACCACACTCGACGAAAAGAGCTGGAGAGACAGTGAGTCAGTCGGTCAGAGAGACCGTCAAACGGAATCGTTTTCTCACGGGAGCCGACGTTCCGTCATTCCGTCGTTTCGTCGTTGTTCCATGCCAACGTTTTGGCTCTCCAGCGTTTTAAATGCTGAAAAAAAAGAGAAGAGAGCCGTAGAAAATGAGCGAAAAACATGAAGCTCCGAGAAAACTAGCGAAAATCTGCAACAAAACAGTTCTGCCACAATCTGAAACGCAAATATTGCTACATATATACATACATAATTATGAACATATATGATAAATAAATATCTGAGAGTTAAAAAATGGTAAAAATGGTAAAAAAAATTTCATTTTAAAATATATTGAAATTGATATCTTTTTAAATTGTAATTTTTGAGCAAGTGGCTGCACTGGTTCTCTCCAGATGTTTCAGGGAGAATATCTCTTTCTACGTCCTCTCTTTCGCTGCGCGACCAGAGTCCAGTGTTGCCACTTTAGTTACTTAATTGCTAGAAAAGGCTAGCAAAAATAGTTATGTCATGTTTTGCATATTTTTAAATGCATTTATTTATACATATATATACTGTATACTTAGTTCATTAGAAATCATATGCTACGAACAAATAAAAAGGGTATTGCAAAGTAATACTTCATAATTAAAAAAACTGGCAAATCCCTATATACCAGTAAAATACATAATAGCTATTTTTAGTTGGCTAACTTTTTCGGTAATTTAGCTATTTTGGTATCACTCGCTCTCAGTATAAAAGAGTGAGCAACCAAGAAACAAGTTTCACAATTTTTCTCTTTCTCGCGGAACGGAACGAAAAGTAACTTCACGGACAAACGAAAATAATTTACAAAGAGTGCAGCCAACAAATTGAAATCAAAAATCGTATCAACTAAAAAAAAACGTGGCTGTTTTGCGAAAATGCGATCCGAAACATGAAAAAAATCATTTTCAATAAAGTGAATTAAACAGTGAACATTAATATACAATTGTAAGGAAACTCAACGGAGAGAAAATAACTGAAACGCGAACGCAGCTGCTTACCGTGGAAGTGACAAAGACCGACGGCAAAACAGTGGAGCGGATAAAATTAGTCGTGCGTAACATAACTACGATAAACAAAAGATTTTATAGCGGCTAATTAGAAACGTTAAAAATTGTAAGTATTGCTGAAAAGAGAGGCGATTTCCCCTTCCCTTTTTCGTTGCGGTGCGAGTGTCAAAATTGCAGTATAATGTTTGTATGTGCGAGTGTTTCTGCCTGTCAGAGAGTTTAAATAGCGCACAAAAACAACAATTAAAGATATTTAGCGAATGCACCTCTTCTTCTGATTCGCAAAGACAACAACAACAATCGCTTTGGCGACATTTCAACGCAAAGAGCGAACAGTGGGAAGAGGACGGTGAATAAGTGGACAAAGTGAAGTGTTTCTCCATGTTCTCACATATGATGTGCTTGCAGACCACTGTGCGAGAAATAAAACGTAGTGGAAATGAAATGAGCGGCGAATGAACGGGGCAACAAAAAGCAACAACAAAAACAAGGCAGTGAACAGCAAGCGAAAAGCAACAAAAATAAAAGGAAATCCTATAAATAACAGCAAGAAATATTTATCAATAGCAGATAGAGGTGCGGGAAAATAATTAAAGCAGTGAAATTAAACCGTTTGAATGGAGGATTTGGCAGACCACATCAGAGATCTCTGCCTTATTTATTTGATATCTTAAATGGTTTTTAATTAGTGATTATGTGCAAAGGTACAACGTCATGGCGAGACCACTAAATTAATTAATATTTTCTGGATTACAGTCAACCTGTGACAAAGTTATACTTACAAAAAAGTCAAACAATTTTTCTCAATCAATATGACCGCAATTGGTTCGCACATTTGCCCAGTATCTTCAAAAAAAAAAAAAAAAAAAAAAAAACCACCCACTCGAACACCCCTCCCCCACAAGGCGCTTTGGCTTGTTTCAATTTCATTAAAATGTCTGGCGGCAATTAAATTTGCATAAATTAGACATGGCAAGCGCATTTGCCTGTGTGCCACAACCGAATAGCGCAGAACGGAAAGAAAGAGAGAGAAAGAATAGAGTGGAATGCTGAGATGAAAAAGTGAAACAAAAAAATCACATTATGTTTTGTGGCAACGCTACAGTCAACATATTATAAGACGCAATTTTAATAATACAAAAAAATGCTTAAAGTTTAATAGGTGATTATTAATAAAATTTTGAAGTATATTTAAGATATTATTTTTAAGTTTGATGCATGTGGCACAGGTCCTTGCGCAAGAGATGCCTTAGATGAACTTATTTAGGGACACCACCTTCAATCTTTTTTTTTATTAAACATTTTGTAGTTTTAACTATGCCTAATACCTACATATTTAATTTATTAATTTTATATTCCTTCTGAAAAAGCAATTGAAAATCCGTCTTTAGAGCAAAAATACCTAGAAATAGCCTAATTCGATAATGTTCTTGCTTCAGAGTGAACGGTATCGACAATTCGCACTCCTACTCCAGGCCAAAAATGATTTTAATGAGGTAGAACCGATTTCTAATTAAGATCACTATTACACCGCCAAACGAAGATATGGCAAAGTTTGTTAGGGCAGACCCAAAAACCAAGATACGCGGCATCAACGGAGCAAGACGGATGCACGGCTAGGGAGCGGAAAGAGAGTTCTGTCAGAATGAAGCTGCTTAGCGACGATGGCAATAACGAGTTTAAAGCTCCACTAGCTTTGAGCTCACTAAACACACAAGTAAACGAACACATATAATCAGCGGACAGACAATACAGACACAGATACGCGAAGTGGATGCTATGGCGTAAAAGTTTTATACTTTTATTTCTATACACGCTGGCCAATCGAAAAATAATCGCATTATGATAAGAAAAACAGCGCGCAAGCTTCTCTCTATCTCTTTTCCGTAAAAATATGTGTGTGCGTTTGTGTGTGAAAAGGGGTAACTGAAAAGAATGAAAGTTGGGCGTTATTAAAACTTTCGTACCCTTGAAATCAGAGGTATCCAGCGCACTGTTAGTCAAAGAAATTGAAAGGCTATTGTAATGTGAACAAGGTAGACATAACGTCCAGTCTAAATTAAGGACTTTTAAATCTGGCCTTAAATGTTATGTACGGGTTATTAAACGAACATCAAAGAATCTCACTTGAGAAAACACTTTTTTAAACAGATAGTTTATCTGTATAAAATATAATCAATCAGCCAGTGATAAATTGCCCTAAGCAAAGATATAGGTGGAACTTTCCTCAGATAAGGATAACTTTTCCCATATAAAACGCAATAACTTTTTGCGAGGGTATAAGACAGGACAACAGATTTGGAAAGCCAATCCAAAAAAACCAAAAAACCAAGTTGGGGAGCACACAATTTATATTTGCTTTTAATGCCTTTGGTCTTGAGCTGCCTTTTTTGCTGCCTGCAAACAAATAAAACTGGTTTTCAAGTCAATTAAACAACAAAAAATATACAGAAAACAAAACGAAAAAAAAAGAGCTTCTCTACAAAAAAGGAGCATGGAAAACAAGGGCAGAGAAGAGTGGTTGTGGAAGAACAACTTTTCCAACGATCAAAATAATAAAAATAAATTTTAATGCAGCAAATAAGAAATCACACAAATGTCATTTGTTGTGGTAGTAGTTCTTGGCCTAACTGGTATTCCAAGGAGTTAAAATTCCAATTAGTGACAAAGAAAAGCCAATATTGGGACCAATAATTAAATGCATTTATTGTTTTCTCTGCTATGGTCGTTCAACGCACTCAAGCACTTAATCATCTTAGCTCGAGTTTATTGCCGCAATATTCTACATGCTATGCTGTTAAATCATAATCGCCCACACAAATTCTTTAGAAGTAGCCATCATTTGCTGTTTTCAAATGGCTTTAAATAAATCTTGCAAAAATTGTTTAGTTCTTTCAGTCTTTGGTAGGCCAAACCATAAATAAATTAAATAATTGGATAAATGTATCAAATGGAAAAGCAAAAAACCATGCAAAGCGATATGGTAAAGCCGGAAATTTTACTCACTTTTTTTACATATAAGATTTTAAATATTCGGCAAGCCGTTGTTGTCTGTATGGGCTCATCTGGCCTCAACGGGCTTCTCCCATTTTCCCTACTGCACACTCCCGTCTCACCCAAATATCGATTTAAAAAGCTCATGTCTAGTTTAAGGCCTCAGAGTGTGTGTGTTTGGGTGCCAAAATATGCCAAAGCAAACGCGTACAGGCATAGAGGCAAATTTCACCTCAAAACTTTTACTCTGTTTCGAAAATGGTCGGAACGAAATTTTATTGCAAAAATATGCCTGGAAATGCAAAATTCCAAACAAAATAAATATCACAATGATAAAACTGGATAAAATGTCATTTAGTTTTTTCAAACTTAAATTAAATAAGATTTATATTTATTTATAAATAAAAAAGTAGTAGTACTAATCATTAATGACAAAAACCTACTGGATTTTAGCTTTGACTTTCTTTAACTTCCTATCTTATAACATTTTGAATCGTCAAGCATTTGTGGGTAGTTCAGAGAGATTTTGTTTACTCCCCATCTGATCCTTGGGATAGGAGTTTTAACTAGTAAGCCAGTTTTCCAATAATAAAAAGTAACTAACTTGTTATCTATTCAAATTATATCGTCTAAATTTTAGGGCTTGGCTTTCAATTTCTTTAATACTTTTGCACTTCTACCCCGTTCCTGGTTGGTCTCCGTGTCCTTGTCATATTTCGTTCCCATCAGAGCAACCTGTGCACCAAATAAGCTTAGCCAATTTATTTTCCATAACAACTGTGTACTGGCTGCCGGATACCAAAACAGAAAAAAATAGAAGGAAAACATGATGGAAAATTGTGCAAAATGCTGTTGCCCTTCAACTACCAGAAAAATAACGAACGTCGACGCCGACTTTACCGAAATTGGCACAGTCAACGCGCTAGACGCTCCCTTGTTCTCGTGGTCCTTGCTCCTTTTCCCTTCTCTATCAACGTGCATTATATTCATGTTGGGTAGGCAGGCAGGCAGGCACATCCTTTGTTTACAGCAGGCCTATTCGTTATATTGTATAACAGGCACAACAGCAACAACAAGGACGGAAGGCAGACTCATCTCGGTACTTCAGGCGCCCCAATTTGGGCATGCTGGAAGCATTCAAATTTTTTCGAGTATAGAAATGAAGATGAGAAATATCTCTTCTTCGCTCTTTCTAACTCGCAATACCCTTGTTGTGAAATGGAATTTTGGATATGAAAGGTTTTATGAAAGACCAAAAGCACGAATAAAGTTAGTTTACCTTGTAATATAATATTATCCGCAAGCCAAAATTTCGTGCCTTGCGGACATCAGAAAATCTCTATTAAAGGTCTCTTTTTAAAATCTAGTTAAATCTTTAAGTTGTTAAGATCAACTTAAAGTTGATAATTCTTAACCTTAGAAATGCAATATATTGATAAATTAATTCGTAAGTTTTTATAAATTTAAGAAATAGAGTAACTAGAAGCCAACTAAAGTACTTGAAGCTTTGCAATGTAACCTGTTTGGTTTTGCCTGTGGCATATTGAAATTAATGTAAATTTTTTCATACACTTGCGACTTATTGGGTTTCGTTTATTTTTATTTTTCAAAAGGTGTGGGCTCTGCGACAAGAACAGCTTCGAGGGTAAGAGTTTGTTATTGATTTTGGGTGGCCGGAAAATCAGGGAAGTGTAGGTTGTGTGAATTTATGTGATAATGAAATGCCTGGCTTGTATCTTGTTTCCTTTCCTTGATGGTATTAGTTTGATTTTGCGTGGGGTCAGGAAAGAAAGTCCTTTAGATTTGTAGTATGTTAACCTTGAATCAAAATAATGTGATTTTTTTAAAGTGAAAATCAATATAATATCATAATATTATATATGTAAATATATATAAATTAACTGTGAGGTAAACAATCTGATTGTGGATGGCTTGCATTAGTGTATTGTAGTGCGTGGGTGGAAATGCGGATAAATCCTAAAACAAAATCTTTTGCAAAATATATCAACATTTTTCAGAGGTTGTTTTTTTTATTTTATTTTATTTAATTATTTTTTTTTTTTTTTTTTTTTTTTCGTATTCTCACCATTTGTGATCAATCCGCCACCGGCAAATGAGACACAAAGTGTCCTGTACCCCAAGCAAACAATACGAGTGCACTGGAAAAATATTCATTTAATCGTAAAAAATATCAATTTGGTATACCTTTTAATTACTACCACAAAATATATGGTTTAAAATAAAATATTAAATTTCAATTTCAAGTTATTCTGATTTGATACAGGTACATATATAAATAAATAGATTATAGAGTAAAACCCTGACCAGTTCTTTGTTTTTTGTTCACAGTATTTAGAAGGTAGTCACTCGATTGGAGCTCTAAATAAACTTAACTAAATATAACCGGATTTTAATATAAATTTTATTAATGTTTTTCTCTTCTTTCAGAAATATTCAATCAAAAATATTGATATATGGTAACTCAAAGACTAGTTATATAATTTTAACGTTTCTAACTGTAATATGAATTTGGGCGCGACAGCAAACTCAACAGACCAAGTAAATGAAACATTATCTAGGTTGGAGTATAGAGTTTTTGACCTTGAAATAAACAAAATAATACAAGACATTTTTAACAACTTTGGGAACAGTCATAAATAAATTTAAATTTACTTAAAAATAGTATTTTTAGATGTTTAATTTTTTCGAGTGTACAATTTTTCGTGTATTGGTGTGCTTTTATTAGCTTTTGTAACGGTCCCAAGACGTCTCCGGCATCCCTGACACGCAAGGAGCAGCGACGATGCGCAGCGTCTCCAAGCGGAAGGCGGATGTCGTCGGCAAGTGTAGACATATTTTCTTAGCAACTTTTCCGACCCCTTCCCCCCCTGGGTGGATCCCCTCCTAGAGCCTGCTTTTCCCCGCCTTGCTATTTGAAACTTGTAGCAAAGTTGTGTTGTTGTATCGTCAAGTCAATGAGCGTTTTTTATATGCGTACACATGTATGTAGGGGACGGGAGGGGTCGGAGTGGAAGTTTGTTTACTGTGTTTGCGAGAAAATAAAGTTGCTCGACTTTTGCTTTCCCCGATTCTGGGCCAAAAGTGTATTAAGTCTGTGGTATATGAGTGGGCCAGGCAGGAGATGTGGCTTGATAGGCGTGTGGCACGAGTTTATGTGTATATATACTATATAGCTAAAGCTGCAGTTTTAGTCACTTTAAGCGGATTTCGCTGTAGCTAAAGTAGCTGAAAGTTATGTTAACGATTGCTGTGTGTATATGTACTTCGGAGGACCTCCAAGTTGGAGGAAGGAATTTCGGTTTGTGACTGCTCAAAAAGTTTATCCGCGCTGAAAAAATAGGGGGCATCCGAAAACTTTATAATTAATATTATTGTTGATTAACTGAAATGTGACATTTATTAAAGTGAAAAGCAAGAAGCTGGTGCTAGTTGGCTTCAAGGGATGTTGGAAAATTGTTTAAATAATAATTTTATAAAGTGTCAGCACAATGCTTTATGATTTGTAAACTTTTTTTTTGACTTGTGCGTGTCCTTGAGTTGACCAAAGCACTTGACAAAGAAACACAGTGCACATTATCCAGTTTTATTACATATATGTATACCCCCACCTAGCACACACACACTGGCATTCTCATAAATTCTCAAGTCTAAGAGGCAATAAATTCAAGAGAACATTATTATCGACGATAAATGAGCAAACGTGGCGAGGAAAGGCTTTTCCATTTAAGGAACTAACCTTTAAAAAATCATGAAAATAGAAGCAGAAAATCTCCCCCATACGAATTGCGTGACGGTAATGAAGCTCTCGCCCCGCCCTCAACCTTTGCTGGACTCCCAGTCATCGACATTTTCTCCCCACCCCCTGACATTTTCCCCTGTGGTGTAGAAACGCGTGCACTTAATATGTTCGACTAGGTAAATTAGCAAAATTAATAGTAAATGTGTGGTAAAAAGAGAAAGGGAAGTTGTGGGATTTTTTAATACCCGGTTTTATTTATTATTAAAGCTTAAAAAGGATATACTTTAATGGAAGTATTATAACTTTGGTCAGAGGTTTATATTTACAATCTGGAATCGAAACGGATCAACTGTAGTATATTCTCATATCTCAAAGTAGATGGTTGACAAAGTTGACAAAGTTTTTGAGTTGACTAAATTGTCAAAATTAATACATATGCCATGTTATTTGGCAGCAACTTTCCTGTTTATTGTTATTCTGATTTCAAAAGTTTAAGCACAGACGGCACCTACCAGATATAACTTTCGAAAGAACCTGTTTCAAAAACCTTGTATTTTCCCATAACGCGCAACCATGGGCAACGTGTTGGCTTCTTCATCAGGCGGACTCTTGTCGGATTTACCTCCACCACCTGGCGCAAGCCTCCCGTCTCACCTAGTGAAGGCAATGGAAACCGAAGCTATAAAATCAGAGCTGGAGAATCCCGGTACGGTCGAGGATCTGCACAGTCGCTGTCGCGAAATTCAGGCTAATGCATTCGACGGCGCCAAGATCATGCTAAACAAGGGTTTGAGCAACCATTTCCAGGTGACGCACACCATGACCATGAGCTCGGGATCATCGAATGGCTACCGTTTTGGAGCCACCTATGTGGGCACCAAGCAATATAGTCCGAATGAGGCGTTTCCTGTGCTGATTGGCGAGATCGATGCCATGGGAAACCTTAGTGCGAATGTGATTCACCAGCTGACGGCACGACTGCGTTGCAGGCTCGCTACACAGTTCCAGGACTCGAAATTGGTGGCCACACAGCTGACAAGCGACTATCGCGGCAAGGACTACACCTTATCACTGACCATGGGCAACCCGGGCATTCTTACCGGATCTGGAGTGATTGTGGGTCAGTACCTGCAGGCCATTACAAAACGATTTGCTATGGGAAGTGAACTAGCCTACCAGTACGGTCCGAATGTGCCTGGCCGCCAAGTCGCAGCATTGTCCGCGGTGGGACGCTATGACTTTGGGGATTCTGTGGGGGCCTGCACCCTGGGGCCGTCGGGCGTGCACCTAAGCTACTACAAGAAGGCCAGCGATCAACTTCAGATAGGAGTCGAGGTGGAGACGAATGTACGCATGCTGGAGTCTACGGCCACCCTGGCCTACCAGGTGGATCTGCCCAAGGCGGATCTCGTATTTCGTGGAAGCTTTGATTCCAACTGGCTCATTGCGGGTGTCCTTGAAAAGCGCCTGCAGCCGCTTCCGTTCTCCCTGGCCATTTCCGGACGCATGAATTACGTAAAGAACACCTTTCGGCTGGGCTGTGGCCTGATGATCGGTTGAATTGAGCTGACCGTAGAAAAGAGTTGTAATATGACGGAAAACAGAAGCTATTTAGCAGAAATAAGGATAAGTTAATAATGTTGTTAATGTTTGGTTTCTAAATTGGAAATTTATACGTATGTGTCGAGTCTATGCTGTTCAACTTTAACCAAATTAAGGAAGGAAAATTTAAGAATATAATCTGTTTTTGCGGCCTTAAATCGAAGCTTAGTTTTTGTTTAAAGGAGGTCACAACTATTTTAAAGATTGCTGAAATTGTATATGAAAGTATATCTATATTTATTGAGTGTTTTAGGAAAATAACAAGGATACTTTCATTATATCATCTTTCTTTGGCCGAATAAAGGAAATGTAAGCTATCTACTTAGTGCTACGAAACTAGTAATTTGGTTTTAATCGTGGTTAGTCACATGACCCATGATCTATGACCCTAGCTGTCCACCTTCCCCCACATTATATGATATATTGAAAAAGTTAAGGGTATTTCTCGATTTTGGGCTTCACTGTCTCATAAAAAAGAAGGAAGACTATGATTAGGTTCGCCGCCTTGACATAAAAGTATTAATATTTTTTTACAATCGAAGCCATTTAAATTTAACTCTTAAGTATCCAAGTTTAATATTTATTAAATCTAAGAAAAGACGGGCCTTATGTACTAGAATATTCCCTCTTTGTTAGAAAAACTTTGTTGAGGTTGAGTTTTAGTGGACATGTGCAAGTAAACAGTCTTGCCATTTACGCACATACCCATCTGGCAGGGGGATTTGTCCTTGGTTCTCGGCTTTGCGTGTCCATCCTACAGCCTTGAGCTGTCTGTTCTCCTTGCACGTCTAAATTGTGTATCCTTGACATCATCAATCAAGAAGTGTACAGCCTGACAAACACCTACGTATTCGGGGAGGCAGCATTCAACCTCAAAATACTACTTATTTGATTAGTGCTAAAATACCCTTGAATGAGGATATTATATTATATTGAAATGTACTTTGTTTCGAGTTGCTTGACTTAAGGGGGAAAATCTTCTCTCAAAGTTACCTTGCTGAAAAAAATATATTAACTGGTAACTCTTAAATCTCAAAAGGTTTAAATTTCTTTTACTTCCTTATATTCTTTAAAAATACTTTATTATTAAGTTACTATATGGTACAAAATTTAAAGTCCTAAGTTATGCGCATTCTTCAAAACAAGTTTTCAAAAACTTCTCAAGGGTCAACCCCTATTAAAAAGAGTAATAACTTTTAATTTTACGACTTATGGGGTCAACTTTTGAAAAGCTAAACACATGTCGATGTAGATTTAGATATTTTGAGTTTTGTTAGGTTTGATTAGATATTACTTATTCAGTATTCAGTTTGCAAACGTCTGGTAAAATGTTTAATATCTTTTATCAATATGACAACTAAGACCTAAAAAACAAAGAACAATAAATTTAACATTCAACGACTTTGGTAAAAGCCCAGAACAATCGAAAGAGGCTAACAAAGAAAATGGGGAAAATTGCATTTCTAGTTGTGCTGAATATTTCGGTTGAATATATATGGAGGTAATGCTGTTTGTCTTTCTCTATCTCTCTCTCTCTCTGCCCGATGGCGTCAATTGGCTGAACAATGAGTTCATAACAGATTTATGATAACTAAAGTTAATTGGCCAAATTGCTGTAGAGGTGCAAAGTGTCAAGAGAGCCTTGCTGGCACTCATCTCTCCATACTGGTTGTACGATACAATGACAGAGACGCTGCTGTAGTAAATCATTGACCCTAATCATCATCATGTTTCGGTATCAGAAAGAAGCAGTAGCAGCTAAGAGCAGAAAGGTGAACAAAGGTTAATGAAATAGATGATATACACTTGAAAATAAAGCTATAATATCCTGGAACTAAAAGATTTATAAAGTTTTATAACTTACGAGTTTTTTATATATTAAAATTCTAGTTTTATTATTATGAAACAAACTTTGATATATTATGATACAATTTTGGCATATATCCTTTTTACGTTAAACTTTTGCACTTTTGTTACATTTATAATGTAAACATTGCCCTGTTTTTTCCCCTGTTTATCCCCATTTGATTGAAGTAAAAGCCGGCGGGACGCGATTCATGCACATTTCTCATCCCAGCCAGAAAGAAAAAGCTTTTAGGCGACCCAGCATGACAGCGCGGTGCATGGAGCGAGCAAGAACTCTTCTCACCTTGCCTGCAGTTTAGGATTCTCGTTAAGTGGAAAATCTCGATCTTTTGGTTCGCGTTGCCTGCCTTTGCATTGTTGCTCCATTTTCCCCATTTTCCATCCCACCCTGCCAGTCTGCCTGCCTGCTGCATGGCTGTCTCCTTTGTAGACCCCGCTTAATAGAGCGTGAACAACAATTCGCTTGCTCATGCGGCTCTGATTTCAGCTTTTGGCTCTGTGTATGTGCGCCTGCCCGTGGCTCCACTTCCCCGACATTCATGCCGTTTAACGCTAATACTTGGTACCTGCATTTTAACGATTTCAATTTGGAATTTCCATTTAACCCCAAACATTGATCCATGCCATTTTGCGCCCTTGCCGCAACTTTTTCTGCAATTTGCATGTATGCATACTATACATTTTAACGAATATAGTTGATTGTGCAACGCGACGTGGCAAGGGGCAGAAGCGCTATCCGTAGGGAGGGGGAAAGTGGACCATGGGGGAGCATTTGCCGCCAACAATTGTACTTGCCGTTGTTGACACAATTGAGCGTGGTATTTATTATGTCTCTGCTTTTTTCACACCCACTCTCCTCTCGCATTTCCACTGTTTTGTTTTGTTTTGTTTTTCTTGTCGCAGTTTTTTCATTGCTCGAATATATGTATGTATATGTATTTGCTCTAAAAATTGCCATGTTTGCCGCTTTGTTATTTTTTTTAGAACAGAGCAAAAAAGAAATAAACATTCGTAACATACTGTTGAACATATTTAAATTGTAGAATTTCTTTTTTTGTTTTTGTGTGGCTTGCTGATAGGAATGCATTTGGAATAGAGATTTTATCACTGTCACTGGGCGCCAACATTAGATATTTTATTTTTTGTATGCATAATTTATAGAGGAACTCTAACATATTCAAATTTAGTTCTTATTTAAATAATATTTTAGGTGCGAGCTTTAAAGAATGCAGGAAATATTATCACACCAAATATGATGTGTTTTTTTTAATATTTTAGGATTTTTTTTCTCTTTTTTGCATTTAGCACACAAAAGTTAAAGATATTAAAATAATTTTATTCGTATAAAACAAATTGAGCTCCTTGAAAATTAGTTAAGCAAAAAAGTAAAAGAGGGAACAAGTCAAGGCCAAAAACCCTGTTGTAAAAGAAATGAATTTTTAATAAGACCTTGAGACCCATGTCAAGCACACAATTGAAACGAGGGCATGAAAAACAAGTAAACTTTAAAGTAATCCAGAAATTCTTAAACATGCGCTTGATACCTACACAAACAGAAAAGTTTCAGAATATAATAAAACGAAATTAAAAAGAAATTATTGAATTATAAACCTACTGATACTGATACTTATTAAAACTAAAAATCATTGTAAAAATATTCAAATAAGAAACCAATCAGAAAAATCATTGCAAAGAAAAATTCAAATACGAATCAAATTCAACCTTTTCGATTAAGTCCAAATAACTGTCGACAAAAATATTTCCGAAATGTCGCTCCACTCTTGAAAGCTTTCTTTTATCCCTAACCCAAATTGAAATCCAAAAGTAGTTTTGCAAATTGCAATCCACCAGATGCAAACTTCATCCAACTAACTGACCAAAGGTTATAGAAAAAGAAAATAGTTTTTCGTTTGTGAAGCTAGCTAAAACTTGATGGTAAAACCAAAATAACAAATATACACAGACGCGCACACATTGTAAAGTTGGGTAGTCCAATCCCTTTTGCATTGAACTACATTGAACAGCAGTAAGTACGTGGCATGATTGTTTGTAGTTGGCCTCGAAGTGCAACTAAAATAGGTTTAAAGGGGCAACGGAAAGAGAGAAGACTGCGAAAAAAAACGTGAAAAGTAGAAGAATACGTTTTATAAAAAAAATATAAATTTTGAATATAAAGAAGTAATACATGTTGGCAATTAAAAAGTAGATATAAACTAGCGTAAAATTATTTAAAATTAAATTATTTGTAACTTGTTATTTTTGGTAATTTTTACTATTATTTGCCACAAAATTTGTCACTCTTATGCAACCTCCTTAAGGGGTGTTTCTTATTGATACGAAATAAACCAGTAAAGGACTTTACTAAGCAATTCCTAATCGTACTCCAGAATTACGAAAAAAAAAAATCAAACCAGGTATTCTCTATATTTATGAGCTAAATCAGAAATGCAAATTAAATCCACGGGATCTTGGAGTTGGAAAACATCACAGAACCAAACCAGGGGTTATTTAAATTTGGAGGGCCACTCTAAAATTCACCAGCTAGCAAAATAAGTCTGGCGGAAGCAACAGACAACCACAATGAATAAAAAAAACTGTGCGACTATGAAGAAACCATTTGGAAAATATAATCCAATTTCTCCCTCCGCTATGCACCATAATTTTTCAGTTAACATCCTCGTCGTCTGACTCAAATAAAAAAAAAAAAAACCGAAATGCTATACATATTTATATTCCATACATATTTATAACGTTAGCCTGAATTGCTTTCCTCTACTCACTTTTTGGCTTTTCTTGTTGTTCTCGCCGTTTTTCCGACGGCCAAGCGAAAACTGAACGCGAGTGGCATTGAAACTTCTTGACTTTGGCTTGAAGGGGGGAACGGGGCTTGATCCCGTGGAAGGTAGAGGAACATTTTGTTGTAAACAACTAGTTACGACAGTGGCGCAACTCCCTTTGCGTGTTGGAAAGCCACCAACTTGGGGGAAGCTACCTGAACACCTGAACTTGTGGCAATTAGTGTTTTTTTGTCAGGCATTAGAGTGACTAACAGAACTCAATTTGAAAGAGAAAATCTCGTTAATGATTGTCAGTTTTAGTCTTTTCAAATATTTGTTTTTTAAGAAAGTGATTGATCCTCTACGCGGTGTTATACGAAAAGGACCTTTTAACTCTTATAAGTAATAAAATTAAAATTTAAATCAATTAAATTTGAGTGTGTGAACATTTTAAAGAGAGACAAATTCCTTACATTTACTTTAATTATTCTTCAAAAAAAGCTAGGACTAAGTAGATAACCATTAAACTTTATAAAGGTTTCATTTAGAGATAACATTTCTATGGGATAGTAAGAATTATTCCTTTTCCAGGCAGAGAAATTTACTTAAACATCAACCCTTATATATAGTACATATGTATGTTTAAAATCCACCCGAAAAAAAAAATATTTTAAAGGATAATATAATTTTTTTTTTTTAAAACTGCAAAACAATGCTGATAAAGCTTTTTTAATTGTCCAGCTTTTCCTCATTTTTACCCTCTTTCAGTAGTCCTTTCTCATGCTCATTTTCATTAATTTGTCATTGTAATTTTATTCACCGCTTCTCTGGCATTTTCCCGGCAGACTTGTGCTTAAATCAGCTTTCGGTGAGGCGCTCATAATCAGTCAATGTGCCGTGGAAAATTATACAGCTTTCTGGGTGAATACACCCCCCTTTTTCTCCCGACCGTTTCCCTTGTTTAACCATTTTGTTGTTCCTCTTTCTTTCCCCACAGTATTTAGTATTTAATTTTGTCTTATTGCTGTGACAAGCAAGTTCCGCATTTTACTTTTTTCCCCCAGCTTCTTCTTGGCTTTTTGCATAATTGATTATCTTGGCCTCCGACTAGACTTCAGTTTCTGCCACACGAACTCGAAGCTCGTAGTCACCGTGGTCATTATCAAACAGCAATTGGGCAGCAATCTTCTCGTTTTACCAGTTTTCGTTGCTTTCTTCAGTTCGAATTCCACTTTTTGAGATTTTCGCCATCCAACTGCATTTGACAAAGACTGTAATTTTACTTTGCTCCACAAAACTATTGAAAAACTTAGCCAAAGCCAAGGAAAATGTATAGAAAGAGAACAAGAAATCAGTGGAACAATACCAAAGTTGAAATAGAGTGGAAAAGCGGAAAACGGAAAATTGTTCCACTGAACTTGAGCGAGAACAACTGACAGAAACTGTGCAAAGTGCATTCAGTAAAGAACAATTTGGCTACATTTTCTCTACCCTCTACTAACTTTTATTACAACTTGTTTTTTTCTTTATGTTGTTATTTTTTTTAGGGAGGCCTATATATTTTGTATGATGTATAAAGTCAACTATATGTATATCGGGTGCCTAAAAAAAACATGGGTGTTAAAAGCCTTGCTGAATGGTTAATATGAGGAATACTTCTGGCAGTGTTGTGGCAAAGTTCTAGTGTTTTAGCATACAAATTGGTTTATTAGATTTATTTAAGAAATTATATATTTTCCATATATTTAAACTCCATTTTAAGACGTTTCTTTTAGTCAAACTTGCAACGTTTAATTTGTGGCAAATAGCAGATGTCGCGAACCACAAATGAAAGTCACCACAGTGTTTCAGAAAAGGTTGTCTGAAAAACAGCAGGTGGGTGGTGGTTTGTGGTTTTTTATAAGCACACACACACACACCTGCCCACACGGCAAGCGAATGCACCTAAATTGTATGACAGACTTCTCTTTGACATGTTTGGCGCAAGGAGAATCTGCTGGCGAAGGGTAAAAAAGGGGGAAGGGACCAGGAGAAGTGGATAAGCAGTACTTGGAGGGTGGACACGTTGACAGTTGTGCCGAGAGTGTCTCCGACAAAGGAAACAGGGGTATTTCAACCATTTCCTGTAAGGAATCCGGGAGAAGTGGAACGAAGGGAGCTGTCAAAGGAGTAATGCTCAGGTATCGAACATGATTTAAAAAAGCAAATGCAGCTTAAAGGTATTTATGAAGGATTTTACTTATGCTAAGTAAACGTAATTAATATCAAAGGGAGATCAGTGAATTATTTAAGAAATATTTAAAAGAACAATTTAGGATGTGTATGTATTATAACAGTCTTTCATTTCAATATATTCAGTGCTATATTATATAAAATTTCCTTACCGATCATTAACCTTGCAACACCAATGTGCACTTAATATGTGTACATTTCTGCCATTCTGGACTCATCCATATTTAAAGGCTTACCATATGGTGGAAAAGCGTCCTGTGAGCTTGTTTGTTATCGTCATTCTGTGTAAATCCCCCTAATGCCATGACATTAAATTAGTCTTTCCCTTCAAATTTTCCACCTGCTCTCTTTTCCACTCGATCTTGTTCTCTCTTTCTGGCTGCTGCTGAGTAGGTGTTAAGCTGTGCTTAATAATGACGCACATTACATATGCAAGGCGAGCTTGTACTTCCACCGCCCAAGTCGCCTTCCGACACTTTCCTCCCCCAGAATGTCCTGGGGAGGAACAAATGTTTTGCTATTTGTTTTTTACTCATGTTGCATGCACACGGAGACAAAATATCTCTTAAAGTGTGGTGAATGCTGTAAAGTAAACATTTTTTATGTGTTTTCTGTTAATTAAATAATAAGATTTTTTAATTAAATAATATGCCATGCTATAATTGATTTAATTAATCAAATATGACAAGCAATGTCGTATAATATGATAAATTATTTATTATGTATATTTTAATGTGCTAAAAAGGACTTTTAAAAATTTAAAGATACATTCAATTCCTATAAAATCTGATTACCAATTACTATTAGTAAGTATATCTTTCAGTGTATGGTATTTTTTTATTTAACGATGAATATGTAGGCGTCCCACAGGATTCCATTTGCTATTTGAAACACCTGTGAAATTGATATCCATTGTTTATCGCCTCTGTTCTCTGGCTTTACAAACTTTCACCAACAATACTTAATATCTCGATAAGTCTATATCAAGCTTAAAGTTTGACACTTTATCCCAAAACAAGCCCAAGTTTCTACAGTTGCTTTGCTTCAATTCAAAAAGATGTCGGGGACAAATCAACTAATTTTATTTACATGCAAATCACATCTCCAAACAACTAAAAACAGCGGCAACAACTTTTCTCCATTAAAATGTTTACAAAATTACCAAAATTGACAATTTCCGCAGGCCAAGGCGAGAAACGAGAAGCGAGAATCCACTCCCTGCGATTGTTTCTACAGGCTGCGTGCCTCTCCAACGCACAGTGTTCCAGTTTCTCAAACACCACACAAACACTCACCACCCCCTAGGTTGTGTGGGGGGTATGGTAGTGAGCGACCTTTTGGCATGGCAGCAACGCGCCGCATATTTAAATTTTAATTAAAATTTTCTTGGGGGCCTCGGCAACCAGCCTTCCTTTGTGTTTTCCTCCTCTCAACGAGCTGGGCGTTGCGTTCCCATTTCGCACTCGCGCGCCTAAAAATATGCAAATAAAAAATTGCCGTTGTGCGAGAGCCTCGTCAGAGAACTGGGGCTAGAATCCTGTTCTGATTTCTGATAACCTTTTGGTTGAGAGCTCCGTGACGACCCGAGGGAAAGTGGGGATCTCTAATGAAAGCTTGTGGTATCCGCAATGGGCGCAAATTAATTATCTGCCTCTTGTTGACGCGATAACAGAGCTATCGATAACTAAAGGGATTTTAAAAGGACATTTTTAATAAATAAAAGGTGTCTAGGTGTATATAAGTTACGTGGAATACTGACCAGAGTTGTATAAAAATGCAGGGAAATGCGACATATTGCCAGGCATTACTCAAAATGGTTTGCTATCACTTCAGGCTACCTTAAGTTGAAAAGCTAAAGGTATGTAAAGGAAATGTATATGAAGGAAGTGTCCTTAGTCCTTATTTCCTTCTCTGTAACTGCAAAAGAAACTTCTCCCTTTTTGCAGTTGGCTCCATTTCTTCTGCAACTTGTTCTTGTTTCCCCTCTCTCACTCACGGAAATCTGTTTTCGACTGGTGGAATTTTTCTTTTTTTTTCGGTTAACTTGAATCAGAGAGAGGGGGGGATTGTAGGGGAGCCTGTGTCTGCTTCGGTTGTTAGTTGCAATCCACAAAACCACCGAAACGAACGAGTTTTGGGGAACTGGGAGCCGGGGAGAGAGAAGCCTCCAGAGAAGCCTCTCAGTTCCAGCCACAATTTGCCATGTAAATATTAATGCCAGGCTAGACATGGCCACAAGAGAGGGGGGGTGCAGGGTCTGAGGACTGTGGTCCGGGATCCAGAGTCCGGAGACCGGGGTGTTGTACAGCTCAATTTTTCAAAGCTCGTTTCTGTCGTTAGTTGGTTGGCTGGGTTTCGGGTTGCTTTGACTGCAGGTTCTCCTCCGACTTCAGGCTCCCGTGTTTTTTGGGCTATGCAAATAATGAATGCAAAATGCTGTTCAAGTGTTGAAAAATCATTTGAGCTTCACAGTTTACCTATCCAGACGCACCAGAAATCTTCAATTAATTCTTACAAATTTTTCTTTTGACTCTTTTCAGTTGTAAAACTAAACTACAAGGATCTACACACTCGTTTTAAACAACAAAATGGATACTTTTAATCAAATATTCAATGGCGGAAGTGAAAAAGGTTGATGATAATGTTATCTTCAATATAAAAATGCCCAATGCAATATAAACAAGAGAACTAAATATATATTTTTGAGTGTGTTACATATTATAAATAAACGGAAAACTCGGTCATTTAATAAACAGAAAGTGCTAAAATAAATAAATTATAAACTCCTTTGAGGAGTTCAAAGTGCAAGTGACTCTCAAATTCAATTTAAAAAGTGTGCTAAAAATTCAACTATGCCCAGTCGCCACTAAGAAATTATGGATAAACGGCTTAGCGACAGTCCCGGAGATTGTCGCGTTACCAGATCCAGCATGACGCCCACTCTGCGCCTCGAGCAGAGTCCCAGGCAGGAGTCCCATCCGCAGGATACCGGCGCTACTGCCCAAGGTAGCAAGTCAAAGTCCCCCACTCCATTGCCCGGAAAATCTCAGGCGGCTCAGCACCATCAGTTCCGAGCTCCGCAGCAGCAGCAGGGGCCCAAGAATAGGAACAAGGCCTGGAGCAAGCGACAGCACAAGGCCGGCGGAAAGCATAATGCCAGTGCCTGCGTTGGCGCCAGTAGCGCTCAGGCTTCATCCACAGGATCCTCTGCCCCGGTTGCGCCCCTCCTACCCACATCCACGTCGGCGGCGGCTGCCCACAAAGCAGATCTTGAGAACATTCAGAGTATCCAAAACAAGAACCAGGTTGCAGGCAGCGGTGGCAGCCAACATGGCAACACAGGAGCCACCCATCACGGCGGCGGCGGAGGAGGGGCCCATCACGGCGGCGCAGGAGGTGGCGGGGGCGGCGGTGGACACCATCATCACCACAACACGAGGCTGGCGCAAAATGCAGCTGCACAGGGAGGTGGCGGAGCCATGCAGCTCTATAAGAAGATGCTGCCCCACAGGTGAGTCCAAATTGAAAGAATGGCCTAGCAGGGCCACGAACTATAGCAATAAGAGGCTGTCCATATATTAGGTAATCACGATTTTCCCGATTTTCATTGAAATAGTATAACAGGGCCCAGACAGCTCATAAAGGTAGATAGAGGGGATCTAAGAGCAGGAGCGTCTGCCCAGCAAAGCTAAAGGTTTCTGCAACGCTTATTCAGAGTCTTAGACTTTAATTTGTATTACGGACCCTAACCTTTCATAGACTAATATTGTTTTTTCAATCCCTTCCAGGGGTCACCATCATCACGTGCTGTGTGCCGGCAACAATGCAAATCATGCTTGCTGCCTGGTCACCGGCTGCAATGGCAGCTCTGCCGGCGGAGTTGCAGCGACAGGAGGCGTTGGCACCGGCAGCGGCGTGGGAGGACCAGCAGGTGCTGCTGGCAGCGGCGCAACCTGCAAGGAGGCGCAGAGCTGCAAGGACACTAGCTCGCTGAGCGGCAACAGCAGCATTTCGAGCAGCGCAGCGGCAGCCAATGCGGTGCACTACTGCTGCGGACGCTCCAAGTTCTTCCTGCCGGAGAAGCGGCTGCGCAAGGAGGTGATCGTGCCGCCCACAAAGTTCTTGCTGGGCGGCAACATATCTGATCCCCTGAACCTCAACTCGCTGCAGAACGAGAACACGTCGAACGCATCCTCCAGCAACAACACGCCGGCAACGACGCCGCGCCAGTCGCCCATCACCACACCCCCCAAGGTGGAAGTTATCATACCGCCCAACATCCATGACCCACTGCACCTGCTCGACCCCGTCGACTCGATGGAGTACGAGAAGCAGCTGACGTCCCCGATGAAGCGGGGCGGAGTGGGTGGCGTGGGCGGCGGCATGCTGCAACTGCATCACCGGCAGCACCACCATCGAACGCGCAAGAACCGGAAAAGGAGGCGCATCGACTCCACCAACGCCTCGCATGCCAGCGATGAGTCGGTGGCTGGCGGAGGCGGGGGCCCTGGCTGTGGTGGAGGTGAATTTCCCGAAGAGACCCCGCTACCCACGGCCAGTTCCTCGCTGGCGGCGTCGCCAGTGGCAGCGCCTGCGAACGCTAGCAGTGGCAGTTTGCTGCTGAGCGAATCCGCTGCTCCGGCGGCGGGCGAGACAGCGGAATCGGGCCAAGAGCAGGCGCATGTGCGCTCTCCGCAGGCAGCGACAACGGTCACGGCTGAGATGCCGACGCCGACGTCAACCGAGGCAGCGGCTGCGACAGAGGAGCAAGTGGAACAGGCTGCGTCGAAGGCGCCCGCAGCAACGTCATCACCGCAGCGGCAGCAACATGTGGCCACTGCTGCCGAGGATGTGCCTGCTGCCACCACCGCTGCCGCAGAGCCGCCGGCTGAGCTGCTGCTCAGTTGCTCCGCAGCTACGTCGGCTACGCTGGCGGTGGCGTCGACGCTGGCAGAGCGACGGGCGCAGGCCAGCCGTGATTTGCGCCTGGATTTATCCAGCACGTGCTACGGCGTCGGCGGCACGGGGCTGAGTTTTGGAAGCAGCAGCGCAACCAGCGTGGGCAGCGGCAGCGGAGGAGGCGGCGGCAGAAAGAGAAAAATCAGCGAGAGCAATAATTCGCAAAAGAGCAAGGTGAGTAAGAAAGTGGAATGTGAAATGGGGAACGTGGAACATGGGGAACTTTACGGAAATGGAACTAGAGAGGGGGTGATGAAGTGGGGAGTAATTATTGTTGTTGCTGTTTTGGCATAAAGTCAATCGCTGTTTTTGTTTTGATTGCTTTTGGCAGTTTTCCGTTTTCCGTTTTCTGTTTTCCAATTTTGGTGTTTATGCTTTGACAATTCCATTTTGGTGTTTATACCGGTCAAACAGCGTTTAAATTTTTAAGTATTAGCGGAAATCTTTGTCAGACTTTGAATATCATATTAAAAATAATGTTATCATTTTTCGATAAACTAAAATTTATTAATGTGTAATATTGTTTTCTGTTGGTTATTGCACAGAAGAGAAATCTAGAATTTTAAGATTCTGGTATCTTTTACTTAAGTTTTCTTAATCCTGAACCTTTCCACAGTTTAAATATACATTAATATCATTAATTTAATAAACTTCTCTACTTTGCACTTATTCCAACAGAAATTCCATCGACATGATGCCATGGACAAGATTGTTAGTCCTGTGGTTCCGCAACCCGGTGCCTGGAAGCGGCCTCCGCGCATTCTTCAACCAAGCGGAGCCCGAAAGCCCAACACACGGCGCTCGACATCATTCAGCGAATCGGAGTTGCTTAGCCCCGTTGAGGAAGTGGCGCCCAAGCAGTTGCCCCTCATAGAAGGTATGTATAATTAAAGATGATGGATAAATTACTTTAAACTAACACTCTCTCTTCCTTGCAGTGGAAATACCCCGAGATGACACGCCAGACTTGCCAGAGCATGGACTGGGCAGCCCACTGAGCACTACATCAGCGGCCACTTCGCACACGGCTGGTGAGCAGGATTCCCTAGCCGGGACGGATACCAGCATGGCGGAGGGCTTGGCGTCACTGGCTCCAGTTCAACCTTTGGAGACCAGCAGCAGCCGTTTAATGCTGCAGCCGGCCATGATTCCTCCACTCAAAGTGCTGCCAAAATTCAGGGCAGATGGGGTAAAGTACCGTTATGGTAACTTTGATCGCTACGTGGACTTTCGGCAGATGAACGAGTTTAGGGATGTGCGACTGCAGGTGTTCCAGCGTCATGTAGAGCTGTTCCAGAACAAGGACATCCTGGACATTGGATGTAATGTGGGACACATGACCATCACAGTGGCCAGGCATTTGGCGCCGAAAACGATTGTTGGCATCGATATTGATCGTGAGCTTGTGGCTCGGGCCAGGAGGAATTTGTCGATCTTTGTTCGTATACCCAAGGAGGAAAAATTGCCTGATGTGAAGGCAGAGGCAGGATTGGACGTGAAAGTAGAGCCAAAAACAGAACCTGCGGGAGAAGAGGCTTCCGGAACAGCGCACAAGAAAACGCGACGTGGCAAAAAGCGGCGGCAGTCACTTGGACATCAACCAAATCGTCATCATCATCATCATCACCATCACCACCACCATCATCATCATCATCAACAGGAGCTAGAGGAGCTGCAGCAGCAGCAAAAGCTAGACGCCTTGCTAGTGAAGCCTCACGAGTTCTTTCCCATCTCATTTCCACTTACCTACGGGGGCATTCCTCATGTGCCGCCTTCAGGCAAGTCGCCCAATATCAACAAGAACCAGTTCCCGGCGAACGTCTTCTTTAGACACACCAACTATGTGCTCAAGGACGAATCCTTGATGGGCAACGATCAACAGCAATACGATCTCATTTTGTGTCTCTCGGTGACCAAGTGGATTCATCTCAACTTTGGCGATGCCGGCCTGAAGATGGCCTTCAAGCGGATGTTTAACCAGCTGCGTCCCGGAGGAAAGCTGATACTGGAGGCCCAGAATTGGGCCAGCTACAAGAAGAAAAAGAACCTGACGGTGAGTGATTGATTAATCTATACTTTTATTGATAAATAATATTAACTTAATTACCATTACAGTCGGAGATCTACAACAACTACAAGCAGATTGAGTTCTTTCCCAACAAATTCCACGAGTACTTGCTGAGCTCGGAGGTGGGATTTAGCCACAGCTACACTCTTGGCGTGCCGCGACATATGAACAAGGGCTTCTGCCGGCCTATTCAGGTGAGTGACAAGCAGCTTTGGAGTCTTCATTATTTACTAACCTTTTCATATATTTATAGCTCTATGCAAAGGGTGACTATACGCCAAACCATGTACGTTGGAGCGATGCCTACTATCCGCAGACCCCGTACGAGGCATACCGTGGCATCTATGCTACCCTGCCTGCCCATCGAATGGGCGGTGGCGGCGGTAGCAGTGCTGGTGGCAGCCATGGCGGCCATGCCCAGCTTCTACACCTAAGCAGCTCCAGTCGGTCGCAGAACTACGATACGCCGCATTATGCGGGCAGTGCCTCCGGCTCGGCCAGCTGCCGGCAGACGCCGATGTATCAGCCTACCTACAACCCGCTGGAGACGGACTCATACCAGCCCAGCTACGACATGGAGTATCTCAATCATATGTACGTGTTTGCATCGCCGCTCTACCAGACCGTCTGGTCACCACCGGCCTCGCTGCGCAAAAGCAGCTCACACACGCCGGTCTTTGGAAGCGTTCGCGACGCCGAGCTGGACGGCGATGGCAGCATCGGTGGCGGGGGCAGCGGAGGCGGCAGCTATCACCGGCATGTCTATCCCCCCAACGACGACACCTGCTCGCCGAATGCCAACGCCTGCAATGCATTTAACTCAATTCGCGATGCGGACACGGATGACTCGAATCAGCTGCCTGGAGGAAGTCGACGGCATGTGTATGCCACCAACTGTGGAGAGAGCTCCTCTTCGCCGCAGGTGAATCATCACGAGGCAGCCGGCGATGCTCTCATGGACGACGCACTTATGGACGATGAGCAAAAGTCGTCCAATGGTGGTGGTGGAGCGGGAAGCGGCAGCGCGGCTTACTGTGATTTGTCGGATGCCTAGAAGAGGGTCGGCGATGGCCGAAAAAATGTGTCAAAACGAAGCAAAAAAATGAAAAAATCGAAAAAGCTTAAGGCAAGCCGCAACAGGTTTTCGAAAGGAAAAATATGAAATGTAACCGTAAACGACAGACGCTTATGATTTTCTATGGTATAATGTGCGTATTTATATATTTTTATATATTGTGACATATATATACATATATATATATATATATACAAATATTCAGATCTATATATACAATGATTAGGTGTACTGCATGTAGACTTTATAGCTGTAGGTTATGCTAACCGTTTTTGCTAAAAACGCTTTATGGTTGACACTTGATTTGATCCTGTTGGCAGTTTAGTTTGTAATCCTAGTTTAAAATCCCATATAAGCAATGCATACACATGTATACACACACACACATGAACACACTTACACACACACACCCACAAACATATACTTCAAGCTGTAGCTTTAAATATATGAATTATATAGTGTGTTATAAAATATTTAGGAAACGTGAAAGAAGCCATGAAATGCAACTATTTTTTATTACAATTTTGGCAAAGCAAAACAAAGAAAATGAAATACAAAATAAATTATATTAATAAGCTCAGTGGCAAAGCAAGAAAATACAATACATTATTAGAGAGTATAATTATAAAGAACTAAATTAGTTTAAAGCCTAGGCGCAGTGCTTATATCTAAGCAAGAGCGTACTATTATATTAAATCCTTGATCAATAGCAAAAGTCGATCCGATCTTTCCCCATAGCCTTTTCCCACCTTCCGAGAGGTAAGCGGAACTCATGCGTTTTTTTAACTTTGCAATGTTTTTGAAACGTTATTAAGGATTATTTTATTTTTTTCTGAGAAAATAATTGTAGATGAAAAAAGTTAAAAGATAGAAAATAAAAGTAAAATAATATTTAACAATTTAAACAATGTTTTTACAATTTGGGTATGTTTAAGACTGGTATTTTCAGCTTTTTAAATTGTTTTTCTTTAGAAATTAAAAATAATATATTTTAAAATTATGTGTGTATCTATATTTACATATATCTGAGTTTGGATATCCCTATCTGAGGATCTTATCCATAAACATAATAGTGTAAACCCTGAATATGTTTTCGCTGTCTTCGGTAACCCATTTCGAATTTCAACGTCTTTATTTACTGGTCAAAGTCTGAGCCTCGTGTCTCAGCTTTCAAGATCAGCTGTTCTCTCGCTGTATCGATCAGACTGACTAGCTTTCCAGTCGAAAGCTCACGCTCCCATAACGCCAGGCAGTCGTTTGCAAGCCTCGAAGGCGTCCGGGAAGCTTCAATTGAAACTCAACAAGAATAGCTTAACTAAAGTCGACATTTTTGTGTAATTGTTCGGTGAATAAAAGAAATGTAAAAGCGCATTAAAGAAACGAATAGCTCGTGCCAATTCCCCTGGGCTTTCTCTCGTCTCTCTCTGCCTCTTTTCTCGCTTCGCTTCCAGTGAGAAATCAAAGTCGATCGGTGATATTTTGACGTTAGTCAGCCTTTTACTCTTAGTTGCTCCGTGCTCTCCGAACAAACAACCAGCCAGCCAGCCAGCCGAATTTTCAAGTTTCTCGACGCGACGCGGTCTCCTTCGAAAGCAATAACACGAGACTTGTCGGGTGTGTGGTTGTGTTTGTGCGATTGATTAACAGCACTTTAATATATTTAAATTTTATTAATTTTTATACACACACACACTTGTAAGTGTGTACACTGTAAAGCGCGTTCAGTTGAATTGCTGTAATTATCAGAGTGCTAAATCGGTGCACATATATGTACATAAATTATATTCGAATTTAACCCACTGCCGAATCGAAGTGAGTGCCAGTGTGTGTATGTGAGATTTATCCCCAGCAGACGTATGAATCACAAGAGGAATCTGTACCGTTAGCATTTGGAGCCAGCAAAGTTTTGGCCGTGACTTCTGACATCGGTGAGTAAAGTGCCATCAATTTCATTATTTGTAGAAGGTTGCTTGAGATTCTGTCTGGAGAATACAAAGATCGAAAAGAGAGAGGAGAAAGTGGGTGCAACCCAAAATGAAAATTCCTATATATGACTTTGATAGCTTCTGATAAAACCGATGTGGTTGGTGATAAGAAAAAAATGGATGTGTGGATAAGCAGTTATGGAACAGGGTTCTGAGAAATATTTGCCAATTCACAACGAATTCATTGTGTATCCGTAGTGCAATTCCCATTTGTAAGATATTTCATAGATATTTAATCAGGGGTGAGGATTGCTCTTTTCTAAAATATATATAGCATAGGACACTATTTATTCAGCACTCAAATACATATATGATCCTAAGACTCTAAAAAGTTGATTTGGGTTTTTTGGGATTTTTGGATTATTTATATTTAATTAATTTTATTTTTTGAGAACTATTATTATTATTAATATTATTATTATTATAAGAATTACCATCCCAGCAAACAATTCAAGTGTACTTTTTTTTATAAAGAAAACAAAGGGTTTGCCAATATGTTATGTACTTAAATATGACTAGTGGGGTGTACACACAACTTATCTTATCTAAACTTTTGCTTTAACAACTCAGATTTCAAAAGTTTGCAAGTTTTCAAAATCTGCTTACATATGTCCATATATACATTGATTGCTGATCCTATCGCAATTGATAACTTTGCAAATAATAATAAAAAAATATCTCATAAATATTATTGATTAGTAATTAAAAACAATTTTTTATAAATAGAAACCGCGCTCTCTTTGTACATATGTATATCTAAATATTTACATAAATACAAATGTGAAGTAATGATGCTGACATCACCAACCGAGTCGATTTAGCCTTGTTCGTCTGACCGTAAGACAGATCTTTAGAAATTAAAACAGCTTTAGTAGTTATTAAGGAATATCGCTGCAAAACTTTTAACTCAAATTTTATCGCGGAGTCTCTTGTGGAGCCTTGAATTGGCATACTCTACATATTGCCAAGCCATTAGGTTAGTTACAAAATACAGAAACCTTGTTCCATCTATATAGATACATGAAGATATTGTGTAGATACTCTGAATTACTAGGTATCCCAAGGTCGAGGCACTTAAATATACCCTTGGTTTTGTTATACTTATATCTTTTTGTATCTTATTCCATATATCAATTAATCAATTACATTGTTGACATTTAGTTATGCGGCGTGAACTAATCTAATCGAGAGCATAATTGTAATTCGTTTCATTTGGCCTTTGAAGCTAATTGGGGTCGTATAGATACTATATGACCGCTGATTACAACAGTGGCGACTGATTTCGTCCTCTTCCTGCACATGATTGGTGGTGCTGATAAGATAGGGCCAGGAAAGAGAGCCTGTGATTCACCACCGGGTACCCATTAGAACTCAACGTTTACAAAAGGTTTTTTGAACCCCTTTTGGAAAGCTTCAGAAAGCTCACATTCCATGGGAGAGAACTGGTTTCTTTCGCTGCCTGGATGACCTTGTGACCGATCCCAGAGTTGATTTTTTGCATATGTAAGTTTGTAAGATCACGAAACAGATTGAAGATTGTATCTTATTTCCAATGTCTTGGAAAATATACATTTAAAGCTTTGCCAGCTGTTTTGAACTTCGCAGCTGTTGGCCAGAAAACACCGCTCTCTCCCACTATCTTTCTCTCTTCATAAGCTTGCTCACCTTAACCGTTAACCGTTAACGGCTTTTGAGCGGCACAAGCTTTCGGCCAGCGGTGTGAAGTTTAGTTAATATTATTAACCGAAGTGACGGCAAAGTTGTCGCAACGTATCTCGCGGATCGCGGTTCGCAGATGCGAACAAGAGAGAGAGAGAGAGCGGCAAGCTTTTCGGTGGGTGGCTCAAGCGCGGTGTGTGGTGGCTGATGCCGCTGCGAGTGTGAGTGTCAGTTCTTGTTCTTGCCTTTGCGTGGCATTTCTCACCTCTCGCCGTCTTTGTCTGCCGCGCTAATTCTGATCTTGCTACTTCCGTTAGTCGGCGGCGGCGGCGGCCCCGAGAAGGTAAACAAATCGCGACTTTATCACATGCAGGCGTGCCGAATCCGCAGTATCGCAGTATCTGCATCCGAAAGATACAACTGCACATGTTTGCATCCGAAAGATACAAGTGCCTCAGCTCACTAAATGGCCCATTTAGCTGGCAATTTTTGGCCATTGCTTTGATGGGGCCAAGTGCCAAGTGCAAAGAGTGAAATATATGTGAAAACACGGAAAATATCCAAGCAATTGGTGCGTGTGCTCGTGTGTTGTGTGTGTGTGTGTGTGTGTGAGTGAGTGTGCCATTGTGCAAAACATTTATGAGGTGGAAGCGCCAAAAGCCAAATACGATGAAATACAAACGAAAACAGACGCAAAGTGGTGGCCAGCAGCAGTGGCAAAACTCGGTCTGGCGGTGTTTACGCAAAGATAACGAAATGCCGAATGATAAAAATTTAATTAATTACTTTCCAATGCAAGGGATTTTGATGTGGCCAGGAAGGCGAGGTAGCACTCTCTCGCAGAAAACTAAAAGTTGTGTTGAAAAATTAAAGCCAAGTATTGGAAGAAAATATTGTCACAAAATCTAATGAGTTGTTAGTAAAATATATCAAAATTTAATATATAAAAAATAACTATTAAACGATAAATAAAAGTATAATAAAAAGTCAAAATACAGCATTCAATTAACATATTTAAAAATGTTTAAAGTATTAAATTAAATTAAATATTACAAAAGGATTCAATATACAATACTATTCACCTCAATTATAAAAAGAAAATCATAATCTAGGGAGCTCAAAATGTACGATTTTTTAAACCTTTTATAATGGTGTCAAAAAGTATGCAATGCAATTTTTGAGGTACCGAATTGAGTATAAATTTTAGTAAAAAAAACAATTTTATAACAAATTGCTGGACACCTTTTAAGGGTTTTTAAAAAGCTTAGTGTTTTCTATAGAACCCCCATCGAATGCAACCGTTTGAATACACCTGAATATCTAATTTAAAAATCACATAAATAAATAAATACAAAAGTGGCACCAAGCATATCCACCTCAGCTTCTGCTTCTCTCCTGCATGATAGAGTCGCTCTGGCCCATCAATCAATCATTGACTCCGTCAATTGCCAACGCATTTGCGTTATTTATAATTTCTGGTTTAATTAGCCAACGCAGTGCGCCAGAATCGAAACGAAATCGCGTGCAAATGCCGACCGCAGATGGAAATGCAAAAATGACCCGTAGGCGAAAGCAACAACAACAACAACAACAACAAGAGCGAATTAAACCAAAAACCACAAGCCAAAAATAAAATAAAGCCAACTTAATTGCATTCATCGATGATGATGGCCAAGTCCACCGAAACCAGAACCGGCAATAGCAACAGCAACGGCATCGGTCATGGCAACAAAGCCAGTGGTGGCCAAAACGAACCCAACGAGTCACTGCAATTGCATCCACCACTGGAGGCGGCGGTGGCGGCCAGTCTGCAGCACTTACAGGTGCGACGTCATCGCCGCAGCATCTCACAGCTGATGGCCAGCATGGGTAATGACAGCTTTAGCAATATTAAGTTTATGTAATCTGGAAACAAAAAAGGGTTATATTTTGCTTAAAATTGAAAGAAATTTATGTATTCTGTGACTCACTTGTAAGAGTCTATCAAATAATATAAAGAATAAGATGCGTAACGACATACGATTAAATTGCAGTAAAGAGCTGGCTTTAAATTCTCTTGAAATTAAGTTAAAAAGGCAGAACTAGAGCCGCATTCTATTATTAAAGTTTTTCGAATTACCTGTGTCGGTTGCCCAATTCTTCTCATTGGTTAGTCATTCGTTCATTTGGTATGCTCTTACTTTTAAAACCACAAGCATGAATTTGGTTTCGCATAAACTTGGTAATAGTTCTACAGACATTTAAAGATATTCGCGAACACATATCATTAAGCCGACTACGAGTAGATGCTGATTATCTTAGATCACTCTGCTCTTCGTGTGGCGGTGTATTTTTGATATTCTGCGTCATCGTCAGATAACAGTGAACCAGTTTGTTGAAAATCTTGAACTGGTTGGCAGTCATTTTTGCAATCAGAAAAGTGAAAAGTATTGAAACTGCCTTTATTGGTTGGGGGAGTGCCCAATAGAACTGGCGGGAAAATGAGACAAAGAACTGATAACCGCCTTTCAAACTGGCTTATTAATAAATTAATGCCACCCAGCATTGGACGTTTCCGTTGGCTTATATATAGGTAAAAATATTGTATATGTAGATTGTACATGGTGCCAATGTCTTGGCGCCTCAGGTTGCGTGCTGTGGCTCCTCCTAACGGTGTTATTTGTAAATGAATCATAACCGATTTTCAAATGCTTGGCACGCTAAAAGTAACGCTATAAAGTCATATAAGTATATAAATATATGTGGTGTCTGATTTACATCAACACTTACAGTCGGATAATGCAACAGGAAGTTTCGATTTCTTTGGGATTATGTGTAGGTCAGATGGAACAATTGCCCGTTGGGTTGAAAGACCTGTTCAGGGGGACTGATTTGCAAAGTCAGCTAAACAAAGGCGTTACAAAATTGTCAATATCGGGCTACGAACTTTATGAAAGGCCATATATGTATATATAAACATATTGTTAACCCTGTTCCTAAGTAATTGTAATATCATTATTTATGAGCATTCCCATTACGTAAATCCAATTTCTTATAAGCTGTAAGAACCAAACTGCACCTCCTTTGATATCTGCTTCCCATTATCTTGGGATATACTTGCCGCAGAATTGTTTTATACCTATTCATCTTATCTTAATGGCGAAAATAAAAGTGTCAAATGTTTATCAGCTAATTTTAAAGCTATTTCAGTTTGACTTACTCAACTCTAGACGAATGTGTTAATGAAATTGGTAAATATTACGATTTGAAAGTGAGAATGTGCTAAATATTCGGAATATTTTTTATTAGACCCTGTTTGAAAACTCATTATTGAGGTCGATGGCTTTAGAATTGGTTCGGCAAAATTGTTTATAGCACAAACATAATATCATTTATATCCACAATTCGCATTATCGATACGATAACTAACTAGAAACACCTTTCATCTCTTCAAAGCTACCTACTATATATAAATACCGCGTTTTATCGCCCTTCTAAGAATGCCAAGGCTTACGGCGAACCCCATTATTTCTGGCATTCGGTTCAAGAGTTCTTTTGTTTGGTAATGTCGAGCTGATAACCAAGCTAGCTTTTTGATAAGGTACGTGCCCAGAGTCGGTTTATGTGCGCCACCTCTTACAAACTGAATACAAATACACTTCCAATGGCATATGGAGGGTCTACAGTAACTCAGTAAGCCCTTTGGTGAATCCCACTTAGATAGTGTCTGGTGTTAAACCCCCCAATGTCATAGATCACTTGCACTCGGCTTCACTGCTAATTTTAACCATCAACTGTGATAAGGCAAAAATCCTGCAGTGTCATAAATATTTGTCTAGCGATAGGTAGCTCGGAATTCAGCAGACTTGGATATATGTATGTATAATAATGTGTCACTGTGCCGGGGCAGGGGACACCTGTTATTATTGGCAGCTAATCAAAGTACTTGACTAAATACTGATTTATGTAGTTTATGGCCGCACTTTTCTTTTGTGCAGTTTTGAAATGCGATCAATAAGCCAACTCGATAAGACCCCTTATCCATGGATGATATATGGTTCTACCTACTGTGCGGTATCTCCTAATCTATCAGTTGTTTCTAGCTTTATCTAAACAGCATTTAACTGAAAGCTAGAAAACTTCCCTGCAAATATATATACAGTAATTGCGGATGCCTACGACTTTCCCCAGTCTCCTGGTTATGCAAAAGAATACAAATAACCCAACTCACGTGCTCTTAACGCAGAGAGATAGGTTTCATATGTCCGGGGGAGAGATTACTGCGACTTGTGTGCTCAGCTCGAAATAGCCTCAAGGTTTATGGTCTGACAGGGTTCCTATGTCAAGTTCAGAAATAAACACTAAATTTAACTACGGCACATGTCGCGAGCTATAGCCTTGAAATATAGCTTCTGTATTTTTAAACCGGAGAAATCATGCGCTAATTACACATTACACAGGTTAAAGCGATTCGGCTGAAAAATGTACAAGTCTTGCCTGCATTTCAGTTATCATATCGCCAGGTTGAGTCAGGGGCGATAGCTGGCCAGCACTCTAGATGGAACACCGAACGTAATTTTAGTTAATTGAAAGGCCTAAGTACTTTGAGAAGGGAAGCAAATATTGATAAGAATTTTAGCTATTTGCACTCTAAGGGGAACGACACTTTAAATGCTAAATTGCACTTAGGCTGACTTTGTGCCGATAGAGAGTCCACTGAATACAAATTTGAAATGGTGTTTTGTTATATGTTTGAATTAAACAGTTTTTTGTATTACAATTACTAACAAAACCACCTTCTTTCAGCTGAATACCCCACAGACGATGTATACCGGCCAACCCACTACAGTGGCTACGTGAATCGTGGCTACGATGATCTAGATAGTTCCTACTACTTTTCCCAATTTGAGGCCATGGCAGAGGTTCGTGCAGGGAATGGAGCGGTTCTGCCGCCCTATGCAACCGACTCGGATATCGAGAAAGGAAGCGGGGGCAGTCGGGAGGCAGATGCCTCTGCGGAGGACTCCAATAACGAGGAGGATGAGGAGGTCTTCCGGGACTGCACTGACGATGTGGTGGCTGAGCATCAAAGCCGCTGCCTGCCAGAGTTTCAATTCTCGCTGGTCGATTCTGAGTATGATGAGACACTGGCCTTTCCGGACTCGGTCACCATCCTGTCGAATGTGGGCGACAAGCCGGTGCTGGTGGAGCGCAAGGAGACGGACGACGATGATGAGGAGTTCGATGACGAGGAGAACAACAGCGTGGTGCTGCGCCACGAAATACCCTTCACCAGCATTTATGGTCCGAGTGTCAAGTTCAACTCCTTTCAGCGCAAGGTCTTCATTCCGGGTCGCGAAATTCACGTCAGAATTGTGGACACAGAGCGCAGCGTCACAACACATCTGCTTAATCCCAATCTGTGAGTGAAATCTTATCAAAGTAATCAATTATTTTACTAATTCAAAGTCTACTTGTCTAGTTATACCATCGAACTGACTCACGGCCCCTTCAAGTGGACAATTAAGCGACGCTACAAGCACTTCAACTCGCTGCACCAGCAACTCAGCTTCTTTCGGACATCTCTAAACATTCCATTCCCCAGCCGCAGTCACAAGGAGAAGCGAACCACGCTCAAGGCCACCGCTGAAAGTCAGTTGGCGGATGAGTCCACTCTTAAGGATTTGCCCGCTCACACCAAAGTCAAGCAGTGTAGCACTCCGGTTAGTGGTCAGGGTCACAACAACAACAACAATGGCTCCGGCAACAATGCCATGGCCATCATCAGTCCCAGTCACAGTTCAATTCTGGCCGGTCTCACGCCCCGCCGCATCCAGAAAAAGCGCAAGAAGAAAAAGAAACGGAAACTGCCACGATTTCCAAATAGGCCAGAGAGTCTGGTCACAGTCGAAAATCTGGTTGTGAGGATCAAGCAGCTGGAGGATTATCTATACAATCTGCTCAACATCAGTCTATATCGATCACACCACGAAACGGTAAGAGATTACTTTGGGTAAAATCCTTATAATTATTATAAGGACTTTGATTCTGGAAGACCACAAAAATCGGTCCACTATATATCCAATTCCCCAATATAAATCATACTAAACACGCTTTTTATTTACAGCTCAATTTTGTGGAGGTTTCCAACGTGTCATTTGTGCCCGGCATGGGCATCAAGGGCAAGGAGGGCGTGATCCTGAAGCGGACAGGCTCAACCAGACCCGGTCAGGCGGGCTGCAATTTCTTTGGCTGCTTCCAAAAGAACTGCTGCGTCCGCTGCAACTACTTCTGCTCGGATGTGGTGTGCGGCACTTGGCGCAGCCGCTGGTTCTTTGTGAAGGAGACCTGCTTTGGCTACATCCGTCCAACGGATGGCAGCATCCGGGCAGTGATCCTGTTCGATCAGGGCTTCGATGTCTCCACGGGCATCTACCAGACAGGCATGCGCAAGGGTCTTCAGGTGCTGACCAACAACCGACACATTGTTCTCAAGTGCTGGACACGGCGGAAGTGCAAGGAATGGATGCAGTACCTCAAGCATACGGCCAATTCGTACTCCCGGGACTTTACGCTGCCTAACCCGCACATGTCCTATGCCCCGATGCGTGCTAATACGCAAGCCTCGTGGTATGTAGACGGTGCCCAGTATATGTCGGCCGTGGCCGATGGGTTAGAAGCTGCCACGGAGGAGATCTACATAGCCGATTGGTGGCTTAGCCCGGAGATCTATATGAAGCGACCTGCGCTAGATGGCGACTACTGGCGCCTGGACAAGATTCTGCTGCGCAAGGCTGAGCAGGGAGTGCGCGTGTTTGTGCTGCTGTACAAGGAGGTGGAAATGGCTTTGGGTATCAATAGCTACTACAGCAAGTCCACGCTGGCAAAGCATGAGAACATCAAGGTAAGCTTAAGTACTCCCATTGCTTACTCCGACTGTTCTAACAATTGCTTTTCCTTTCCCCTCCTCTTACAGGTAATGCGCCATCCTGATCATGCCAGAGGTGGCATCTTGCTGTGGGCTCATCACGAGAAAATCGTGGTCATAGATCAGACCTATGCCTTCATTGGGGGCATTGACCTGTGCTATGGTCGCTGGGATGATCACCACCATCGTCTCACCGATCTTGGAAGCATCTCAACAGCCTCCGTCTCGGGTAGCACACGTCGCACGCCCAGCCTCTATTTCAGCAAGGATGACACGGACTCTGCCTTTGGATCGCGCAAGTCCTCGCGGAATGCCCACTACGAAACATCCACCGCCAAGGAGCGATCGCCTTCGCCGTCGCCTGATGAGCCCAGTACCAGCATCGAGTTGAGAACCCTAAAGCCCGGTGATCGACTGCTGATACCTTCGATGCTGGTGCCAAGTCCAGGAGACACGCCCGGAGAGTGCAGCATTGCCTTGGAGGGTATGAAACTGAATACCCCAGAGATGGAGCGCAAGAATGTGCTGGACCGTCTCAAGAACAACGCCATGAAGGGCGCCCGTTTGGGCAAGGACTTTATGCAACGTCTCACTGCCACTGAGGCGGCGGAGGATAAACCGGACGGGGTGTATACCGTTGAGTCCAACGATGTAACGGACTACGAAGTGACTCTCAAGTCGGCTCCACATGAACAGGAGGAGGTGACGGTGGCCGCCAACAGCACGCAAATACTCAGCGAGTTCTATGGCCAGGCCAAGTATTGGTTCGGCAAGGACTACTCCAACTTCATACTCAAGGACTGGATGAACCTAAACTCGCCATTCGTTGACATTATTGACCGCACCACCACGCCGCGGATGCCCTGGCATGATGTGGGTCTCTGCGTGGTTGGTGCATCTGCCAGGGATGTTGCTCGCCACTTTATCCAGCGTTGGAATGCCATGAAGCTGGAAAAGCTGCGCGACAATACACGCTTCCCCTACCTGATGCCCAAGAGCTACCACCAGGTGAGGCTGAACTCCCACCTGCAGCAACTGCAGCAGCGCCGCCAGCAGCGAGTCACCTGCCAGTTGCTGCGCAGCGTTTCAGCCTGGAGTTGTGGCTTTATCGAGGCGGATCTGGTGGAGCAGTCCATCCATGATGCCTACATCCAGACAATCACCAAGGCGCAGCACTATGTGTATATTGAGAACCAGTTTTTCATCACCATGCAGCTGGGCATGGGTGTGCCGGGGTCGCACAACAATGTCCGGAATCAGATCGGCGAGACCCTCTTCAAGAGGATCGTGCGGGCGCACAAGTAAGTGGATGCTATGTTCCAGCAATGGGCACATCTCACCTTTAAATCTCTTCCAGGGAACGAAAGGCGTTCCGCGTGTATGTGATAATGCCGCTGCTGCCGGGCTTTGAGGGTGATGTGGGCGGCAGTACGGGAATTGCTGTCCGGGCCATCACTCACTGGAACTATGCATCCATTTCCAGGTGAGGTTTGCTTGCTTACATTATAATTTCTCCCATTTTACGTAAAATTCATCTTTTAGGGGTCGCACTGCCATTTTGACTCGCCTCCTGGAGGCCGGTGTAACCGAGCCACAGAATTACATCTCATTCCACAGCCTGCGCAACCACTCCTTCCTGAACAACACGCCCATCACGGAGCTGATCTATGTGCACTCCAAGTTGCTGATTGCCGACGATCGTGTTGTTATATGTGGTTCTGCAAACATCAACGACCGCTCGATGATTGGCAAGCGGGACTCGGAAATTGCGGCCATCATCATGGACGAGGAGTTTGAGGATGGCCGCATGAATGGCAAGAAGTATCCCAGCGGAGTATTTGCCGGACGTCTGCGAAAATATCTCTTCAAGGAGCACTTGGGTAAGTAGCTAACCAGCTTTACCCTCCTCAAGTCTAATGTTTTTTGAAAACAGGCCTTTTGGAGGAGGGTTCTAGCCGCTCCGAACTGGACACCAGCGATCCCGTATGCGACAAATTTTGGCATGGCACCTGGCGCCGTATATCCACAAGGAATACGGAGATTTACGATGAGGTGTTCAAGTGCATACCCACGGACTTTGTCAAGACTTTTGCCAGCCTGCGCAAGTACCAAGAGGAGCCGCCACTGGCCAAGACAGAGCCAGAGTTGGCGGCCAACAGAGCCAATGAAATTCAGGTAGGAATCCTAAACAAAAAAGAATAAACATAAAATGCTAACCTGGATTTTATCTCTTCAGGGATACTTGGTGAATTTGCCTTTGGAGTTCCTCAACAAGGAGGTGCTTACACCGCCCGGCACCAGCAAGGAGGGTCTCATTCCCACCTCCGTATGGACATGACATCTTTGAGAGAAATAGAGAGAGAGAGAAAGAGAGATTCCTACCTCTGTATACAAGTTTTCAAGACGCAACTAGCTCTTAATTCGTAAATTCCTGTGGAACACCTATATTAACGTTTACAAAACCCCACCAAATGCGCTTAACCCAAACTTGAACGCTTTGTCATTGCCAAGTCGTAAGCTTTGTATATTGTATATATAATATATATAATATATATAATATTCGTAAATGCCTTAGGTACTACCATCTAGTTATTAATTTATTTTATGCTGTTTGTCTATCCGGATGTGCTCAAGCCTAGTTCTTAGACCGTAATTGTTATTCTTTTGTACAATGTTTAAAAGCAGTATTTTAGAATGTTTTACACAAGCTTATTAAAGTGATATGGAGTGCAAATAAACTAATTTTGTTGAGAAAGAAATTACCAAGGGTAATAAAACATTTTGCAAATATACACATGTTCTTGGTTTCATTTCTTGTTAAGAAAATTACAAATTATTTGAGGATGTCTGTTTTAAGTTCCGTGATTCAGAATTGATCGATCACCATTTAAATTTCTTTTACATTCTTAATTAAAAAGTATTTAAATCTTATTTATTCCAACAAAACAGCTTCAGCATTATCACTCAACCTAAGAGTTATTCGGCATTAAGTAAATTTCCAAAAAGATCGTTCGAAACTAAGCGCCCATTGTTGCACACTGACAAAAGATGGTTGCTGCGACATGTTGATTATTATGGCAGTCAACTTTTTTATGGCAGCAACAGACGATCGACAGCTTGACTTTGGCAACATGTTGCTTTTAGACAATTGCTGGAAACTTTGTTGCCAAGACACATGTGTCGCAACATTGGATTTCCGAATCGAATTTCCGGGAAGACTGGAAACGTAGCATCGGTCCCTCAAAGCCTTCGGAAGGTGCCTTCAGAACGAAGTTAAAGTCCGGCTTATTTAGCGGGAACTTAGGAGAATTCAGCTTTATTAGTACGTCACATTTCTTTTACGATCTATTACAAATTTAAAGAACTTTAGTAATAACTTAAATATTCCTCCATTTATTAATTTGCTTGAAAGCCTCCGAGGCAAATCAAAAAGTTACTTCTTCACTTTATTTTTACGATGAGTAATATTAGATCGGTAGCTTCCTTTTCAAGCTCTGATCAAAATAAAAATACATCTTTGTTCTTCAATAGTAATGATGTACATATACTGTACTCAATTGTGGCCATTACCAGGGCTGCCTCCTCCTCTACCGCCTCCACCGGCACCGTAATAAGCTAGGATATAAATAAATATAAGGAAATATGTTCTGCCCAGAAATATTATTTTGCCTACCACAGCAGTTCTCAATCGGAAGAACGCCTTCGTCCACAGGCAGGGTGGCACCACCCAGCTGTTCTGGGGTCATCAGCGGCTTGGCTTCATTAGTAAGCAGGGCCTGGGGCCACATGAGCCCTGCTGGCTGCATCAGAGGAGTCACGGCCACCGGCGAATCTATGTAATAGCTCCCCCTGACAGGCATCGGAATCGGTGGCAAAGATGGTACAGTTGTGTTGCTCCGCTCCAATGTGGAGCCCATTGACTGCGACGGATTGTAGTCTTAAATATGGAGAAATATAATATAAATACAAATATTATAAATACAAAAACTTACAGGTTAAATCCTTTAGCTTGAGTTCCATTTGTACAGGATGCATTCTCCTCTTGTGCACTGTTAGCCCATGTTGGGACTTGGAATTAAAAGTGCACCCGATCTCCGGGCACCTAAAAGCATCTCCAAGACAAATGTGGCTTTCAAATGCACTAAAGGTACGCGTGTTCATCCCGCAATTTTGGCAACGCCGCGTGTTCTTGGAGCATATCATTCGTCGGCCCTGATGTAAAATCATTTAAAATTTAAGTTTAAATAAAAATATTCAAAATACTTACTTGCCCGTCAGCCACCCCATGCAAGCGGTAGTGGGGACGCTTACGCCGAGGAGTCGAGGATGTTACCGAGGGGCAGGGATAAACGTTCCCCATAGCGTTATTTATAGCGTTCTTCACATCTGTTGCGTGTTGGCGATAGGACGATGAAGATGATGAGGGAGCAGGAGCGGATGGCGGGATAATGTCGCGCTTTACGTCCTCCTGAAGCTCCACAGGCTGCCACTCCGTCAGCGGCTTTACTTCCTTGACCGGCTTCACGTCCACCTCCACGTGCTCCTGATACTCCACCGCTGCGCGAAGCTGTCCACCGGCCATGGCCTGCCGCTCCACCGGCACTCCACTGTTTAGAACACCTCCTGACCATTCCTCACCCCCTATTACACTTTTGCGGAAAAATTCGTTGATAACGCTGAAGACTTGCTCCGCTGTCCCCTCTACAAACACCGCACGCATCATTTTTGCAAACAATTTTTTGGCAAATAGCGGATGTTGTCAGTGTTGATAAAAGCTTACTGAAAATATCGGCGAAGTAGCACGCTAGTTAACCGATATCTTAACCCGTAAAGGTAACGACCCAATCAAGTCAAATCAGTCGTCAAGGGAATATGCTGATTATCTTATTTGATATATCAAAATTATTTTAGCTATAATATATATATAATTACAATATAGTTATATAGGTAACAATACTAGTTTTGAAAATGCTGCTATCGATATCGATAGCTTAAGCTATGTAGTTATGTTTTCCCTTCTCGTGGTTTCCGGTCGGAAGATGCAACTGCCAAAGTACAATTTTACTGAAACAGGTGAGTGTTGATAAATTATCCAATAAATGGATTCAATCTTCTCGGTTAATAGAATCAGAAAATGTCTCTATTCAAAATGTAACATTCATTGGTCATTGTCTTGGCTAGTTTTAATACATTCCTAAATAATATTCTTCAGAAGTAAAAAAATTAGAAACTTGGTACCATAAGGTAGAGCTTTATTATTAGATATTGTAAATTATAATTATATATTTTTCTATTCAGTTACACATACATATGTACATATGGAAACAGTGGATCCGATAGATCCCGTGAGATGAGCGACTGTGGCGATGAGTTCCGGAACGTGTTGTGCGTAGAAGCTGGCAATGTATCCTCGCCCGTGATCCTGCTGCCGGGCACCGGTTTCCAGGCCAGCCAGATCCTTCAGCTAAAGCAGCCAAAGTTCCACCAATCCTAACCCTACAACCCCATCCCGTGGGGTTAAAATGTGAATATTAAGAAATTTAACAGTGCCCGGAGAAATATGTAGTTACAATTTTCTGTAATACACTGCGTTTCACTTGAATAGCACATTTTTTTATGCAATTTCAAATCTTGAAATCTTTTAACCAAAAAGAAAACTCGCTGATGTTTAGGTTTCTATTTATAGTGTAATCAATTTTAAATATAAGAAAAGTAACAAAACTTAAATTAAATTAACAATTAATAAATGTTAACAAAAAAACATAAAAACTTAAAAAATTGCACAACAATTTTGTTTCACATGAATAGCACTTTTTTGTTTTAAAGTATATTTAACGAACTTAAATATTAGGAAATGTGTTTTTATTCAATAGTGATTATTAATACATATATATTTGTTAATTTAGTAATGGGTTGAGCCTCCTTTATTCAATATAACCTCGTAGATCCTGTTGGGCATCGAATCATATAGACTTTTAATGTAGTCTAAGGATATTGTACCCCAGGCCCTCTGAATGGCGTCAATTAGTTCTTCTTTTGTTGAAAATTGTTTGCCAGACTCATAAACCTTTCTGGCCAGCCATCCCCAAACATTTTCAATTATATTCAGATCCGGCGAGTATGGTGGCCAGTTCAGAGTTTCAACATTTTTATCTTTTAACAAAGGTTTTACAATACCTGCAGTATGTATTGGCGCATTTTCGTGCTGGAATGTCCAAGGCAAATTATTGAAAAAATTTTCCAATGGTGGAAAAGCCTTTTCAAGGACGTTTAGATACGCTTTTGCGTTCATGTTTGAGGATAAGAATTGGAGCTCACAAGTCACATGGTAAGATATTGCTCCCCAAACCATAACTCCGCCTACTCGACTATAAAAACGCTCCAATTGATGCGTCTCTTTCCTCAGATCATGAAAATAATAATTGCAGCCATCTGGCCCCTCCAAATTGAACTTTTTTCATCAGAAAACACTACGCGCTCCCGCTCGTTACACCATGACATATTGACGCGGCAAAAGGTCAACCGTGCTTCCTTTCGTTTGGGGTTAAGCGGTGGTTTTTTTTTAGTTTCAAACGTTTTAGATGTTTAGCTTTCGAAATAACTCGCCAAACAGTAGTTTTGCTCGCGTCAACACCTGCTTTTCCCTTATTTTGCTCACAGAGTCATGGGAATTTGAGGCTTCCCGCAGAATCGCACGCTTATCTGAGTCGCTAAGAACACAACTTTTGCGACCTTTCATATTTTTTCCATAGTTTTGTTTGTTTTTTATAAAATTATATACGACTTTTCTGCTTCTTCCAATTTTTTTCGCTATATTAGCTACAGAAAGGTCACAATCAATATAGCTTTGTATTTAGATCTGTTCTTTGTGACTTAGTGACGTTCCAAGATCCATAATTGCACAAAATGATTAAACTATGTTTAACATTCATAAATTAATCAAAAAAAGTGTTTGATTCAATCTCCTTGGCTGCTGAAATGACACGTAATCTAAAATGTGCTATTCAAGTGAAACAAAAAGGTGCAAGTTATTGAAGCAATTTGAAAAGAAAATTACGGTACATTTAAACGGTACATTTTCAGACTTCCAATTTTTGTTGGAAGAGAGTATATGATATGACGAAAATAAAACACCAACAATCATTTCATTCGATCAAGCAGTTGCTAAGATATAAACAAGTAATTATGAAAATGTTTTTGTGCTATTCAAGTGAAACGGAGTGTATGTATAAAGAAATTGGCTGGATTTAGATACAAAATCATAACAGCCGATTTTTAATTTCTGACTGTTTTCAAAAATCTCAGAAAAGAGGCTAAACGAAAAAATTATTTTTTTAGATCATTGTCATTGCACTAGCAAAAGTTAAAAAAGTCACTGCTCCGGCCTCTCTCTTATTTCATAGCTCACTTCCCATTTGTTCTCTCTGTTTGTCAAGTGCTCTCTCTCTCTCCCACTCTCTGTTTCTCATGCAGCTTGCTTTGAGGAAAATGCATCGGAAAAAGCAAACTGCAAACTTAGTTCGTTTTTGGCATGCAATCGCGTTTCGCGTACTCGGAAAATGAAATTTACATATAAAATCGAATAGGAAATAATCAGTGTGTGATTTGTTGGGCGACGGTTTAACGTTTTGTAAAGGTGCAATCGAGTTTAAATTTAGAGCAGGGCAAATAAGTACATAAATTATCCCAATAAGAACCAAAATATTCTTGGAAAAACAAAAACAAAAAGGCAGGGCCTCCAAACGAGTTACAGTCGCACTCACACAACTGGCATTAAACATGTGCCGTCTTTGTCCCACCCGCTGTTGCATTCTCAGAGTTGCATCACGTATACGCACACGAGCACAAAGCTCGCGTACGCACACTTGTTTATAACGTAATAAAAGCACGTGTTGGCTTTGATTTCTCGCTTCCACCTCCCACCTCCCACTCCACCTGTCCCCTGGTTGTTTTGTTTTTATTTTCATGAGTGGCTGTTAGTGTTTGTGTGAATGAGTCGATCGCCCTCTCTTGGCTCTCTTTGGTCTCTGATAACAGTTTCGACTTTGGATTGTGTTTGCGAGCTGTCTTTCTTTGTCATTGCTTTGTTTTTGCTTGACTTTGCTTTTTCTTGCCTTTGTTTACTTTTTGTGTTTCCTTTGGCAAACTTTGCGGTTCTGACGGCAAAGGAAAGCAAATTAGTTTAGTTGTGTCCCCCGTATCTGCATTTCACTGTTGAGGCTCGGGTTCTGAGACAAACCGGTTTCGCGCAGGAACCTCTCGTATTCTGATTAGTTCCCACACATATCAACAGGTAGCTGCAGCAGGGCCTGCGTGTGTGCGAGCAAACTTGCCACCTACTCGAACCGCCCACCCGCGGACACCTCGGCAGCAACTAACAAAACTACCAAACGCTGGACTGCTGAAAGGCCGAACCCCGAACCCGAACCTTCCCAGAAGTTCAAACACACTCGCTCACAAATACACGTTGTGGCGCAACAAGCTTTCCCAGATACTGCCCCCCTCCTGTCTCTCCCCCAGTCCCTGTCGTGAAAACCTGCTGCCGCTGCACAGAAATCAAAAGTGAACATCGCCTCGCCGCCTGCACGAACCCCCCCCGGAGCTCTGTCCCTGCTCGGACGCCACTAGGCGCACGAACGCCAGTTCGTTGCCTTCGTTCTTGGCTCGCGTGAGCTTCGTATCTTGATTTGTGCCCGGTTCTAGTTGGTTAAGCCCCTCGGCTGGGGCTCGGCTCCCGCTTCGGGGAGCGTCGGCTCCCCACTTCGGCCCGGCAGTGGCGCTCGGCCCCACTCGCCAGTCAGTCGGTAGGCAGAGCGAGAGCAGCTGGTAGTTTTTTCGTGGGGATCGCAAGTTTTTTCGTTCGCCAATCGGCGGGGTTGCGGAATTCGTAGTTTGCAGTTGCAGTGCCCAGCGCGTCTCTGACTTTGTCCAGCTAGTACAATCAATTAAACGGTATTAATTACTAGTACCTAGCACGCCAGACAAGTTGGCCCCGTCAACAGGCAAATAGCTCGCCTTTTGGATAGAATGCAAGTGCAGTTGATTAGATTTTTAGCCCGCTGACACAAAACAAAGGCTGAACTGCGAGTGCTAGAACCAGTTTTGATTTCGGTCTTGATGACGTTTAGCTAAATGCGCGAATCTGGCGATTTTTGCCTGTCTTGCAGTATGAGTTTCGGGTGTGCACCGGAAACAAGCGAAAACGAAACAACAATCAGCCATCAGCCATTCACAAAGCCATAAAGCACAGTGAAACCCTTGATAACGAGCCCAAAAATCGAAAAGCCCCACGCAAAACCGAAAACCGTAAAGCGAAAACCAAACCACAACCAAAATCAATCCCGCAACGTTGTTTAATTAAATGCTGATCGAGTGAAATATCAATCGAATGCGAATCGAATCGAAGAATGTGTGTCATAAGTGTCGGAGAGTGAAGTGCAGTCAAAAATGTCAGTGAATTAAATGAATTTCATTTGAATATATTCTCTAAATACCCTCCTCGTCCCTCGTAATCGGAGAGCGGACCGTCGACATCTGGAAAAGTGCAAGTTCATGACGAATTAAATACTTCAATTTGTGCAACCAAAAGGCCGTGCGGTCTTTTAAAGTGCTGACCAAGAACTTTCCGATTAGAGCAATTAAAATTGGCTTTCCATCGACTAACAATAGAGTATACTTAGGATGTGCGGCAAGCACTTGAACCAGCGCCTGTCTCCGGTCCGAGGAATAGTGACAGCCGGCTGGGGCAATTAGGAGCATCGTTAGAACCAATAGCTAAAGTGAAACAAGTGAAATAGTTGCCGAACAAAGCCAGGGAAAATGTCTGCCACTCAGCCAAAGGATAAGGCTTTCAAGACTGACGAATCGATGGCTGAGGCATCGGCCCTTTTGCCACCACCACCGCCCGGAAAAGCGGTGGCAGCAACGGGAAAGGCAATGTATAGCTCCAGCATGGCTTTGTCATTGTTTGATCAGCTGAAAAACAGCGTCAATTTAAACAGTTTGACAATTGGCGCCGGCGGCAGCAGCAACACCAACACAACAACACCACCACCACCAGCAGCAGCAGCAGCAACACAAGAGGCAACACCACGTACAACAACGGCTGACACACCCACCGTCACCCGGTTGCCAGCCCCCGCTCTTCCACCCGCCGCGGATATCGAACTGAAGCCGCCGGCAAAGCCAACGCAAACCTTTAGTACTCCCAGCAGCATTGGCATCGTGCAGGGAACCAAAAGGGGGGCGGGCTGTGTGGCCGGTGGACTTGGTGCTCAGGCAGCCAAATTGGATATAAACGCATTGCGATCTCAGCTCTATCAGGGCGCCAGGAAGACTGCAACAACAACAAACACAACAACAACAACAACAAGGCTGGGAGTCAGCAAGACAACAACAGAGCGCGGGAGTGGAACAAGAGGCTCGAAAAAGCGGTGTCTGGATCGTTACGATTCCTCGGAGTCATCAGACAGGTTAGTGTTATGCGGATATTACGGAAACTTAGGAGAATTTAGTGCCAGAAGCGGTATTTTATGTTTAAAAGCAAGATAGATACATAGATACATTTTGGATTTTCATTCTCATCCTGGTAAAAATGGGTAATATGCCTTAGGAATTAATTGAAAGTGTAGTAAATGATATCTCTAGTGACTGACTTTATGTAAATATATCTGGTTATCAAGAACAAAAACCCTGAAGAACAATTGTGCATTTTAATTGGGTCTAAAGTTAACTAAAGACAACATTTGTGAATACACATCCCTGCATTCCGTCTGGCCAATGTATCTCTTAGACGCACTTTATGGCTATAAACGGAATTTCACGAGTGTGTATCTGTGGACTTGTTGGCCGTGCCAAGACTCTGCTAAAAGTGGATAACCTAAATATATCTGCGAGTTGCATTGCCAAAAAAAATGAGCCAAAAGTGGCGGTGAGAGAGCCACAAGACGTGGCCAAAAATAGGTGAACTATAATCGATGCGTTAATCAAATCCCCTGCGAGCTCAACTCAGGCTGGAGAATACTACAACACTAATAACCGATTTGCGCTAAATTTATCTGACAGGTAATCGGTTCAATAATCGTACATGTGAGTAGCTGACTTTGTAAACACTCGGCCAGGCACGCGCCTCGCTGATTGTGAATTTATGACTTACAGATACATTTGTATCTACTTAAATGGGCAGCCACAAAAACATCTTGCCGCAATGCCAACTAATTTCCGCTCATTAAAAATGCGCAGCGCAGCAAACAAAGCGAACGACTGCAGGCATTTGTATTTGTATCTGGCAGATACGCACAACATGCCTCCATTTATCAGTCCCCCAAATGGCCGCTGATGAGCCGCAGTGGCTGCTGACTTTCCATGGGCGGTGCGTGGGCGGGAGAGCAAAACCTCAATGCGGCGGCTTCCTGGCTGCATTCAGATACAGATACAAATGCAGATGCAGATGCAGATACTGCTTCTTCTGCTCTCTCTCTCTCCGGTTGCCTGACTTCTTGCTGCCCAAGCAGACTTTTGGCTTTGCCTGGCTCTTAGCATTTAGCATTTCAATTAAATGGCTGCTGTGTTGTAGCTGCATGCAAATCATGCATAAACTTATTTAACCACCGACATGGCTGTTTTCAGCCGACGTTTCAGGTTTCTGGTTTCTGGCTCTGATTCCGATTTCGAATTTTGATTCCGCTCCTGTTTCGGTTCTGCTTCCATCCACACGCGAGCGCTGTGCCTATCTGCTATCGCGGCTATTGTATCTGTATCTCTCGGTACGATTAACGCGCCGCGAATGTTTTGTCAATTGGCCCCATCGCCAGCCCCTCTTATCGCCCCCTTATCACCAGCCCCCCCCCGGGCCCCCCAAGTACACATCATCGCGTCGGCTTCTGCCCGATGTCGTCGTCGTCTCTCTTCGTTGGCTGTCGGAAATCATTTCGACTTTTGGTCGTTGAACTCTTTTTGATTTATTTATTTGTTTGCTTTTGTTTTTGTTTGTGTGTTTTTTTTGGGTTTTTGTTTATTTCTGTGTGTGTTTTTTTTTTATGCCGCCTCAAAACATGACATTTTGCTGTTGCTTAGTTTGGTTTTGCATGTTTTTTGTTTGTTCTCAGCTTCACGTGTTTTTATTTTGATTTGGAATCTCAGAGCTGCATATGCATCGCTGTATGCTTTACTCAAGATCCTCAAATAATCTCCTCCTGCTTCCTCAGGCTTAGCTGACCTCGATTTCGGTGCACCAAATTCAAGGGAACCCGACACAAACTCTTACCCCCCTCAGAGAGTAGTCATTAAAAACTTTATTTTTCCACAAAAAACACAACAAATTGCAGTCTTTGCCAGCTAGCTGGCATGGGCAAAAAGTATTGCTGATGCCGGCAAGTACGAGTAACATCCGCAGCTTCGCAGCATACAGGCATTTAACTTTAATTATCGCTCATAAAGCTGAAAACACAACAACTGCAGGGGCAGAGTAACTGCCTGCTTCAGCAATGAAAATCCAGCAGTTGTTGCTGCTGCAATTGCTGTCATCATTTCTGTTTATTTGCAGTGTCGCCCGAATGTGCGAGTGTGCGAGTGTGTGTGTTTGCTATTGATTTTGTCTACTTTTGTCTTACAGGTTTTCCACGTCTTTCCACATTTTTCCACGAGACCCCAAGTGCGACCCACTGCTCCAATGGCGCGAGTCTTTTGCCGTCTGTGGGTTGTGTAGTTGTTGCAGTTGCACTTTTTGCCAAGTCATGCACAGACATAAGCGCGAGAAGGGGGGAGAACAGGGGAGACAATCACCCTGAGATATTGTGTAATCGCCCACGTTGATTTATCTCGTTTAAGTGACTCCGAAACGGCAGCAGCAGCAGCAGCAACTACAGCTGCAGCAGCAGCAGCAGCAGCAACTACAGCTGCAGCAGCAGCATCGCAATGACGTCGAAAGTGTAATATAATAGGTTGCAATTGCCAGTGGTTGCTGCAGCTCTTCCTGGCACTTCTTGGCATTGCCATTTGCCATCAAGTTTTTGGCTATTTTAGCATTGTGGCTTGCCAAGATTTTTGGCAAACCAAAGCGGCACTCTCGCTTTTCCTGGCCAGTGGCCACGCCCTAACACCCTCGCGCTGACAGGCAATGGCCAAGACGATTACCGAACTGATCACGTTAAGGGGTCAAACATATTTTGTATCTACAATAGGCGGGGTGGCTAAGCAGCCATTTAGTATCTTGCTCATCATATCACAAAGAGAAGCTACTTTCGTCACAATCACTCAGAAAATCAGACTAACATCAACAGCCGAGTCGATCTAACCATGTCCGACTGTTTGTTGCTTCTTAAGCTAGTCTTTAGCTATCTAAGTGAAACCTTCTGTAGTTTCTTAGGAACCATAGAAAACTGCAACGGTATAGAAGCTTTGGCTTTATAAAGATAAGTAGCTACTTCTCTTGATAATTTCCTTAGACTCGACATTTAGCTATCATGGAACATATGTATATTCAAAAGCGCATGGGTATAGAACCTTCGGCTTTCCAAACTTAGTTTTCATTCTGGTTTATTTTGTCTTGTTTTTCGTTGTAATATTTTTTGTGTGTATATGTATATATATTCTGCTGTTGTCAGGCGAGTGTGTGAGATGCCTTGGCGAGATTCCCAGTCTTCTGCTTGTAGCTGAATCCCCCCTTGCCGTCGCCGCCCCTCTCTTCTTTTAGACCCTCTTTGTTGCACCTCCTGCTGTCAGCCCTTTTTGTTTTTGCTTTTTTCCACTTGTTCGCCGCATTCTTAGTTCGCTGTGATTGCTTTTGTTGTGGATACCCTGCTGGGCAAAGGCATGCTCGACTTCCAGATAGCCCCGTCTTACCCTCATAAGGGCAGGGTGCACCATGTTCGGTTCGTAAACCCAAAATATTCGTGTTCATATTTTAGTTTTATATGTTTTTGTGGCAGCAGCCATCCAGCTGGCTCTCGCATGTGTGAGTGGTTGTGTGAAAAGCAGTTTAAACACGAAATTAGAGCCTCCCCCGGCCTCTCCGGGCGACCCACCGAAAGCCCCTTGTTCCCTCAGGGAGCGCATTAAGTCGTAATAAATGCTCCCTGGTTGCATGCTTTGTACATTGACCTCAAAACGTAGCAAAGCCGCCGAACCCATGTACCCCCAGCCTCATGCTCCTTGTGTCCCCTCTCCTTTGCCACGCCCCCTCCCCCCCCTGGCCCCCTGGCATGCTGTATCTTTTTAGCTGGGATGCTGTTCGCCGTTCGCCGCTGTTGCTTTTCGTGCACATTTTGCTAAATAGCTTCCATTTACGTTCCATGGAAAATGCAATTCGCAGTTCGCAAATCGCAATTGTAGAATGCAGACATTTTTTGCCGCTTGCATTTGTTTTCCCTGCTCGCACGCTACTTTGTCTCTAGTAACAATGGCTGCAGGGGCGCTGCATTCGCGACTTTTCGGGGCCATAAATCAAAAAAGGTAAAATTCACAGCGGGTCTCAAGTAGGGACTTTCGGGCTAACCCGCGAGTGGGGGTGTAAACTTAGCTATTAGGAGAAATTAGGTGAAGGAAATAGTTGGGAAATGGTAATCTCGAATGACAAATGTACAAGACACTTGCTGGCAATATGAGATATGGGTGGTCGGAAGGTGTTTACTTAGGGGACTTGTCTTTTGGAATGATATAACCCCTTACCTTTTCATTTTGCGGGACATAAATGAATGGTAAATTATTTAAAATTTCTCTGAATTCTTGCAGCTCTCGCCTTGACCTATTTGAAAACTTGTTTCAAAAAGTATAGTATCATGATACTTCAAGTACGTAGTAGAGGAGATAGTGTATTGATTCATAAATCTTCTGTGAATCAATTCTTTAATATCTTTGGTTGCAGGAAATGCCACCAGACGACGACGAGTGTAAGAGTTCAGACTCCACTGGTCTGTGACCTCGCCCCCTAGTATTCCATTTAGTGCCTGGCACCATGAGCACATTTGTGCAACAGATGCATAATTTATGCATCGATGTGCAAATCGACGCGCCAGAAACCGTAGTGTGTAAACCCCGCCGAAGAGAAAAACCAACAAACCGACAACTTAATGGCATTCTAATGCCAACCGCCAAAATCAAAATCATATTAGCCCAAGCTCTGGATGTGGAGTGGCCTGGTGCAGTTGTAGCGGATTTTGCATCTATTTTGTGAGAACACATTTTTGGGGCAGGACAGGGCAGGGCAGCAGCAACAGCATCAACAGAATCGTGGCAAATTTTCATTAATTATAACGTCAGGCAGCATGCAATGGACGTTTCACAGTCACTCTGCCCTTGTACACTTAGAGGAGTTCAAGCTAAATAGTATGTCCTTTGGAAAAATACCTATAGTATTAGTAGAAGTTGATTGGTAGATCCAAAATGAATAAAGAATAATTAAGTATAATAAACTTAAACTTCTAAGTATCTTGTCACTACATATCTGAGTCCTAGGGTCTCTAATTCTAGCTAA